TTTTTGACAACAGCTATTGGTATTATTAATGCAAGTTTATGGCAGTTAGATTGTAGCTAAATTTGCCTTTAAAGGTCCAAAGCAGTGGAAAAAAGAGTCCATAAAAGTGTGCCGTGCTGTATCTCAAATGACTGAATGTGGGACTAATTGTTTGAAGATGTGAAAAGTCATCTAGAAAAGTGTGACATACTGTGTAATTCAAAGCACTGCAAGCTTTAGTGACTGGATAAGTGGATTATAGGATAGAAATGTCTTAGCCTGGGTGACAATTTGTAACAGTGCTGCTTTGCACTCCTGCAAAGGAGCCGTGTGCTGAACAAATAATTTATACTGACACAACTGTGCCCACTGCTGCCTCTCACTGCTTTGCTGTTTTCATTTCCTTCTGCATCTTCAAGTCAACTGGTCAAAGTATTAAAACTAGCTTGTTATTGCCTCTCAATTCTTAACACAGAGAAAAAATAAAGTTGAAAGCATGGTCTCACCTGTACAAACTCTTCACTCTGTCTTCAACTTCAAAGTCAGCTGTCTAATCTACCCTGGTTTGGACAGGAACATCAGGACTGCTGACCCTGATTATAAAAGAACAATTGATGACAGGTACATGACTATAATAGGTAACAAGCTACCAGGTAAAGATGAAATCTTGTATGCGACCTTTTACTTTGCCTCTTCCTAGAAATGTTGACAAGTGCTTATTAAGAAGTTTAATATACTAGTCATTTATTCAAGTCAAAGGCAATACAAAATTAATGTGAAAGATGTTTTGCTACATGTGTGTTATTTCTATAAAGTGTAAGACATAAGGGAAGAGTGCTAGAGTCAAACAGATATTCAAAAGCAATCATTATCTCACCTGTGGATGTTGTTGTTGTCATCTTGCTCTTGTGTCTCTAAATCACCCAATCTGGTCCAATCTTCTCTTGTCAGGTCCAGACAGTAGTCTTCAATACTGCATCAGTCAGCAGCCACCTAACTATACAAACATTAGAAGTTACACACTTGTCTCAAATAAAGTAAATAGTAGGTTGAATGCAGAATTCAGATTTCTCTCACCTGAGTGTCATCGTCGGTCTTCAAATCACCTGGTCCGGTCCAATCTTCTCTTGTCAGGTTTACGGAGAATTCACCACTACTGCATCAGTCAGCAGCCACCTGACTAATACAGATATTAGAAGTTACACACTTGTCTCAAATAACATCAAATAGCTGTAGGTAAAATGCAGAATTGGGAGTTTCTTACCTGATATTCCTCTTCGGTCTTCAAATCATCTGGTCTGGTCCAGTCTGTCTTGTCAGGTACAGGCAGTAGTCCCCACTACTGCATCAGTCAGCAGCCACCTACAGTACATGTACATGTAACTACAAGGTATACAGACATTAAAAGTTACGCACTTGTCTCAAATAATACCAAGTAAATGGTAGCTAAAATGCAGAATAGGAATTTTTCTCACCTGATATTCCCCTTGGGTCATCAAATCATCTGGTCTGGTCGAATCTGTCTTGTCAGGTTCAGACAGGATTCTTCAATTCTGCATCAGTCATCACCTAACTATACAGACATTAGAAGTTACACACTTGTCTCAAATAAGACCATACAGTTGTAGGTAAAATGCATAATTGGGATTTTTCTCACCTGATATTCCCCTTTGGTCTTCAAATTATCTGGTCCAATCTTCTCTTGTCTAGTTCATACAGTAGTCTTCACTCCTATATAAGTCGGCAGCCACCTAACTATACAGACATTAAAAGTTACACACTTGTCTCAAATAAGACCAAATAGTTGTAGGTAAAATACAGAATTGGGATTTTTCTCACCTGATATTCCTCTTGAATCTTCAAATCATCTGGTCAGGTCCTATCTGTCTTGTCAGTTTCAGACAGAAGTCTTCAATACTGCATCAGTCAGCAGCCACCTGACTATGCAGACATTAGAAGTTACACACTGTCTCAAACAACATGAAGTAAATAATAGGTTGAATGCAGATTTCAGATTTTTCTCACCTGATATTTCTCTTGGGTCTTCAAATCATCTGGTCTGGTCCAGTCTGTCTTCTCAGGTTCAGACAGTAGTCCTCACTACTGCATCAGTCAGCAGCCACCTGACTATACAGACATTAGAAGTTACACACTTGTCTCAAATGAGACCAAATAATAATGGTAGGTAAAATGCAGAATTGGGATTTTTCTCACCTAATATTCCTCTTCGGTCTTTGAATCATCTGGTCTGATCCACTCTGTCTTGTCAGGTTCAGACAGAAGTTCTCACTACCACCAGCCTTCATCTAACCATACATACATTATAAGTTGGACACTTGTCTCAAATTAAAAACTAGCAGTGCACACACACACCTTAAATATATACTTTAAAACAAACACATACCTCGACGAAAACCCTACATAATGACCATCAAAACAGGGATAGAAACAACAATAAAATAAATCAACCGCCTTCAACTGAAACTTTATGTGGAATACGAAAAAAATTGGCGCAAAATATTTTGAAATCAGGAATTTCTACCTTCAAGCATAGTCATATGTAGTGCTTGGGCCAGAAATACTTGGGCTTGGTCATTACTATTTACTGAATTACTATAAAAAGGAAACGAACAAGCTTTTGAATTATAAATGATACATTGCAAATGATAATGATGAACGAATTTCAAAGTATGGTAAACTCCACTTAACTAGTTTCAACCGTTTTGTATCGTATTCATTTCGGCGTCCTGAAGCTTTTGAGGCCCCCATCTTGTTTACGCAAATTTTTGGCGGGAAAAATAACTAATTATGTACACGGCCACATTCCACAGGTGTTTTGAACCACGTGGAGATAGAGAGAGAAAATGGTTTGGTCAATGCAGAACTTCTTTCGACAAATATAACCTCAAAACGCTGAACAACTGACTAAAAAACATGCACATACATTTAACACTCTACAAGTGCACCACACATTGAAAATTTTGTTGAAACCGCGGCAACTTGATGGACTTTTCTAAGCCTATGTAAAAATAGGAACGGTCGCTACTTAATACAGAAATAGGTAATTTCTTACGGAATATGTTGACATGTTCGTTCTAGTTGCTATTAAAGGAATAATGTCTGCCAAACAATGTACTGGTTTACCGGCAACAATAAGTGAAGTCGTCTCCATACCACGCTAACGTTACTCTTCCCAACTGTCTCGCCATTTTGTCTTCTCAAAAATTCGCCAGGTCAGGAAATCCGCATTTTCTCCTCAAAACATCAACAGAACGGCACAAATCCACAGCACAAACTCCCAGACATTCTGCTGCACACTTACTAAGACATTCTACCGACGAAAACGTCTAAACGTACCCAGAAAGTTGTGAAAAATCAGCCCAGAGTATTCCCGTCGTACGAAAGCGCCATTTTGAACAGACTATACCAAACTTGTTTTTACACAGGTGTGCAGAACGGCACGTGCATAATCAATGTAATGTCGATAATCTAATTATGACGACCAATGACGGGCCGTTTCGGTGCCAGACACTTATATGTGTCGAAGAAGGACGATTAGATTATCTAATTACGAAGGATACTAACGTTGATGTCAATCTCGGTAAAAAATGGGTAAAAATGTAGCTACAGGGCACCTTTAAATTAGTATTTCTATCATCACAAATAAATTAACGTTTTCAAGAATAATCTGTCACGTGGCCACAGTATGAAACATAACACTTGCCCAATTTTCCTATTCATCCATTTTCGCGGTTTATTCCGTGGTAGAATAAACACCTTCCCCACACAGGCAAACCTGTCCTTGGTGCTGAACACCTTCCCCAGACAGGCAAACCTGTCCTTGGTGCCGAACACCTTCCACATACAGGTAAATCTGTCCTTGGTGCTGAACTCTATAGCTATTCACACACAGGTAAACCTGTCCTTGGTGCTGAACACCTTCCACACACAGGTAAACTTGTCCTTGGTGCTGAACACCTTCCACATACAGGTAAACCTGTCCTTGGTGCTGAACAGTATAGCTATCCACACACAATGTTTGCAATTTTTCTTTTTCGCACATTTAAATAAAAGTATGATCAGACACCTTCCCGCAACTCCAACGTTTCTTACTCAGTTGAAGTGTTTTCCATTGTGTATTAGCCAATTGTAGATCCACTTTCTCGGTTCAGTGTGCAGTGTTAAGTCATGATACTATTAATAATGTCCTCTCCTATATTACCGCATTGTACAAATTCTCCACTAACATGTCTGGATCAAAAATAAAGAAGCTAATCTCATTTCCCGATGAATTATGCAAACGAGGTCCTGATTGGAGCTAGTAATCATGGAGGTAATTTATGTTTGATGATGTTCATGTTCACTTGTCTCCCAAATGCCGCAAGTGTGAAATTCCTGCCATTTAGGAATTATAAAATTTTCTAATTACCTTCGCCGAGAAGGTTATGCTTTCAGTGGCGTTCGTGTGTGTGTGTGTGTGTGTAGGGTACTTGGGGTATTTGAAAGTTAAGTTAATTTGAACATAATTTAACATAACTTATTCAAATAAGGGCCTCATTTGCATAATTGATGAGGAAATGCTATAATGGCATTCCTTGTTAATACAGGACTGTATTTTGGTGTAGAATATGATCAACAGATATAATTCATGCAATTGAGGATCCTATTTGCATAATCAGGGGGATTAATGTATACAGTACTGTACTTTCTTAGTCATAAGAAACTCATTTGGCAAAGGTATGAAATCGTGGAAGTCTAGTTATACAATGTACATGTATTACATGTATTTCGCAAAAATGGACATGTTCGCAGTGGTGGTAGGTGCAGCAAAAGGAAAGTTGACGAATAATATGTTCAGGGTAATGATAAGTTTGTGGAACAGAAATGACTGCAAAAATACATGTAAAACTACTGCAACAAAATTATACAGAATACAGCACAACAAATGACACATTGACTCTGAATCCATACTTGGGCATTCTCTTTTTCTTTATTTTCTATTGTTCACTTTTGAAGGTCTATAAAGTTTGGTAAAGGTACATACATGTATGTTCAGTTATATCAATAAAGATAGTTGATTCAGAAAGCAATTCAAATCTACCAGCACCATAAGAGAACCTTAAAGAGTATGCAGCATACAAAAAATGGTTCAAACTGTTGTCATGTCACTTTCTGAGGACTTGAACTATTGCTGTGATACGGGGAATGTTTCAGAGTTTCTAAGTAAAACTTTTCATTGTCCAAGTATTCTTTGTCCCTCTCTGATGAGTTCTTCCAATTCAACAACTTCCTGGCCAAATCAGCTGCTACCGGGGACATGGCAGGGTGAAAAGGCACAGGATTTACCCCGTTCTCGTGTTGTGGGGACCCTAAACTCCCATTAACCTGTGGCGATGTGTAAGAGGACTCCTGGGAAGGCATGCCCATCCCTATCTGGGGTGACGACAGACCCTGAGATGGAGAGGTCATCATGGACTGTGGTAAAGATTGTGGCACTTGCTGGTAGCTGATTGGTTGAGGTCCTAATTGCTGCATGTTGATTGGCTGCTGTCCAAAGCCTCTGCTGTTATCTCTAACAGGTGTGCGGCAGTTGACGCATACAAATGATCCCATTGTCTGCTCCAGATCTCTCTTGTCCTTAGCAAGTGAAAGACGTTCCTATTGAGACAAAAAAAAATCAATCATTCAATGTAATAAAATTATAAAACGTTTGCTCAAAGGAACTTTTCCAATCATTTAAATCAATGTGTAATGAATTGTTCCAGAAGAAAAATACTGTTTTTGCTCAGTTTCATCTTCTTCTACAAACATTTAAGGTCAATGACCTGGATGTCTATCGCCATGGTAACTTGTGCTGTAGCAGACACCTTGGTGTTGGATTACATTATGTAGCAAGATAAAGCTGAAGGTGATTGTCATGATATACATGTACCAGTAATTGAATGTGTTTGAGTAAGAATTCAGAGAGCAGTAGTTTGTTAGGCCAGAACATGCGAAGGAAAACAATATGCGCTTGCTTTGCAGATGTTATGTTTCTAGTTTCCATTGTCTGGTTACTTTTGGTTACATGCTACATGTAGATGGTCTAATTCCTGAGTGTTTATTATCTGTGGAGTGCAACATGAAGTAACACTTTTGCAGTCATGCTGATGCCTAAAATACAAACAATTGCCCACCTCTGCCATCTGTTTCTCCTGTTGCCTGAGATACTGTAACTGAGACTCGATGGTGCCCAGTCTCTTGTTGTGCTCATCCTCGATCCTGCGTGCCGCTGCCAGCGCCCTCTGTCCCTCCTCTCTGTTCTGAGAAGCCTCCAAACTCACTGCCTCAATCTCCTCAGACTTCCTGGCCACCTGTTTGCTGAGGTATGCCATCTTCTCTGCTTCTGCATCCAGAGACTGGCCAAGAGGGGAACACAATAGTCAGAACCAATCTTGATACAAAAAGCAGTGGTAGAAATGCTTTATTTCAGTGTTCTGCAATATTGCAGAATGTCAAACTTGTTCTGCAATTTGGAAATACTTTCTGCAAATATACACTTCAAGTCCAGATCTAAACCCATGGCATGTACAAAATTGCATGTTGGCAAACATTTTACATGCAATTTGAAAAATACATGCAAAACTACTTAAATGTACTTAGTCACTAGTAACATCCGTGTCCATAATATCACCAGGGTCCATAATATCGCCACCTTGAGAAATAGTGTGCTTTAAGATATTTTTACTGCAACATACTTTTGGTATGCACTCCTGCACACCTCAAATGTACATAGCTAGGGTATGTTGCAGTAAAAATATCTTTAAGCACACTTTTTCTCAAGGTGGCGATATTATGGACCCTGGTGATATTATGAACACGGATGTCATAGAGTCAGTAGTAAACACAAAAGCTCTGAAACACCATCGAACCCCTAGCCTGATTTTTCCAGTCTGCAAAATTACAGATTGATTAATTTTTCTTCTGCAGTATTGAAAATGCCTGACCGTGTGCAAAATGAAGACTGCAGATTGGTATTTCCAACACTGAAAAGGGTTGATACAAAAAAGCATGAGACAAGGAGCTTCCCTTTGCATTATTAGGGACTGTACGATATTTACCGGGGAGGGGGGCCGGTCGTCCGGGGGTAGCGTAAAAAATTTTTTCCTAGGCCCTCCCCCCAGGTCAAAAAACTTTTTCCGAGGCCCTCCCTCCGGCTCAAAAAATTTTTCCTAGGCCCTCCCCCCCGGCGTGAATCATAGAGAGTGAAATTTCGTATGGGGATGGCGAGATTTTGTTTGAAAATTTTCCCCGCATGAAGCGCCGAAGGTGCGAGCCATCGCGCCGCAGGCGCCACTAGAGCCCGAGTAGGCCCGGCTTTTTTTGGGGGGGGGGGGCGGGGGATGTCCCCCCGGAAAAATTTTGAAATTCAACTCATGTTTTGCATGTTGAGGGGCAAATTTGGCAGCACAAATTTCGCTGGTACGTCGAACTTTAAATTTAAAGTCAGTAACGACGTTAAGGTCAGTCAGTGTAATCGAAATAATCCTCTATCTAGCCTACCTTTCGTCCACGTCTTCCGCGTCAATTTTATTACAAACAGGGAAACAATATTGCCAAGTTACGTGTTGTTTTCAATTAACTTTGGAGGGACATAGATGTAAATGTTAAAATAGTCCTTGGTTTAATAAAATACCAAATTAATCCGCCGACATCCGACATCCACGCCGAGAAGTTCGAGCCAGTTGCGAGGCGGGACCAGCGGGGCCTTTGCCGACGCACGCACACCACTGGGAAGGGTGCGTTGAACGGCGAAAATTAATTTTCAAAATCTTCAGACAAGCCTTCCCTACATTTTTGATCGGTATCGTTTCGATTGCCGCGATTGACGCGATTTTAATCCATGTAATTTGGCTGTGTAGTCCAGTTTCGCCGATTCTGGCGAAAATGCAAGATTTTGAAGGGGACTGTGGGAGATTTGGGCGAATACATCTATTTATAATAATAGGGATGGATATTATTGGAACGTAAAATTCTGCCGATTCCAATGACCTGCAAATCGCTACGATATGTATGGACAGACGTTTAATCATGTTTTCAACGTGTATAAAAATGATGTAGAGTTAAAGGGATCTTGGAAAAAATTTTTACCTAGGCCCTCCCCCAAATTAAAATATTTTTTCCCAGGCCCTCCCCCGGCTCAAAATTTTTTTCCTAGGCCCTCCCCCTCAGACGACCGGCCCTCCCCCCCGGTAAATATCGTACAGTCCCTTAGTGAAGTCTAGACCTTGCAAAACATTTGTGCTGTACAACTGTCTGTAAAGTGTAAGTTGACAACACATACATTGTACAATGTACATTATCTTATAAACCATCACAACTTTTGTCTTTCCTATTCTTTCTGTTTGCATGGCTGCACCTTGACAGATTCAAATAGCGATTTTATGCCAAGCAGAAGCAATGCCACTACTGGCTTTTATTACAAATGTAGTAGTAAATGCCCTTGACTTTACCTGTCTTTTCCCATCCAAGGCAATTTTCTCCTGCTTGAGTTGATCCTCCTCCAGTCTGAGGTTGTTCAACTTGACAGTAATGGTGGCCTGCTCCTGTGCCAGAGATTTGATGGTGCTCTCTCTCTCTGCGTCCGTCTTGATACTGCGTGCTGATTGGTCAGTGGCCCTCTCCTTGGCAACTCTTTCTGCAGTGTGGAATTCAGCCCACTCTAAGAAACAAAACAAGGCTTCTTTAAGGAATGTGTAAGACAATTTATGAATACTATCAGAATAGGCTTCTTTGTCTGTGACATATCTAATATCTAATCATAAATTCAATGAATTATAATTCATTTGAACTACAGTGTGTAGTTGTCATTCAGGGCTCAAAATTCATTTTTGGGAATATCTTCACAGGTGCACCCAGTCTAAAAATTGGGAGAACAAGAACATTTTTGGGTGCACTTAGTCTATGTAAAATAAAATACCCGGTAAGTAAAATGTCAGAAAAACTAATAATTATGTTTCATTGCTAAAGAAAAGTACTACAACAATGATTTTATTATTTTTCTGATACTTGCATGGATGTTAAGAATATGCTGTATCCTACTATACATTGAACATCATTCAGCATAAATCTACAAAAATATTTGGGTGCACTCACAGAAAAAATTGGGTGCACAGTTCCAAATTTGGGTGCACTAAGGTGCACATGCACCCAGTATTTCGAGCCCTGTTAATTCTTAAAAGTCTGTGACCAAAAGACCTCCACACACCAGTTGCCAGTTTCCTCCTCTCCTCAGCACACTGTGCCATGACCTGTTTCTGTTCCTCCATGAGCTCGTTCTTGGCCCTCTGTACAGACTCTCTCTCCATAGCCAGCTGCTGGGACAGGTACCGACGCTCTTCCTCCAGAGACTTCTGCAGGGCCTGGGGATTACAAGGAGAATTCTTCCTTCACTGGCCTTTGCCATAGACAGTCATACAATATACGACTGGGGTACACACTGGTTAATTTTCCAAAAAGAGACCTAAAGCATAAAGCAAACTAGAAAGGTAACATTTGCAAAGCAAATGCATAATGTTTAAAATTACCTCTGCATATGGTCTGCTTTGTTAATTCTTTTTTTCATTTCCATGAGGAAATGAAAATATACATTTATTTTGTACCTGTATATGGTCAGATAGGAGGCTAAATCTGTCCTGCTATAAAATTGTAACCCAACACTAGTTACCATGGTACATGTAACAGACAGTCTGGTTCAGGTCATTGACCTTTTTGGTTTGGAGAATAAGAATAAGAAATATAGCAAAAACAATATGTTTCCCTTCAGTAAACATAAAAAATAAAACATATTAAATATTTGAAAATATTTGGAAATTACTGTCACCAAATGCAACACATGTACAACATAATATGTGATGAATATAGGTACATGACATGAGAGAATCTTCGACAATGAAGCCAAGCTAAGGGAGGGGCCTATTACAGTCCCTCTACTAGGAGTTGCCTGGTGCAACTAGATAAAGTTGAAATCCTACAGAACGCCACTGTCTGTGAGTTACCTGGACCCTGTTCTGTTCAGACTTGACCTTCCACCTCTCCTCCTCCAGCTGACGCCCCTGGTCCGTCAGCCGTGCCTCCAGACGACCAATCAGGTCCTGCAGCCTGGTCCGCTCCCTCTCGTTCTCCTCCTGCTGGTGACTCAGTCTCTCCTGTAGCACTGGGGAGAACAGCACACAACAGGAGGCCTTGAGTCAGGTTCATTAGGGCAAAGGTCAGGTGCAGAAGGACCATTCCAAACCAACTATAAACAGTCTTTTTCTTGTCATATCTTGGTAATTGCTGGAGGGTTTTCCTTCTTGTTATTTTCTTAAAAATAGTCTTTAGGCATCTTTTTTATGCTGGCTAGAGCTCTAGAAGTGATGCTATGCTGTTTGTGTTTGGTGGTGCTTAGAGGTCATTTGGGCCATCCTACCATGAATGTGTGCCTCAAAAATAAGAATTTTGGGCTACATGGACAATTTGGAGGTCAAGCTACTCTGTCAATGTGAGCTTTCAATAGTTGAACACTCAAGTAGGTGATTTTTGACAGCTCATTTCTTAGATGTTTACTATACATTAATATTTTCAATGGGAGCTCAAAATGGTGGGCTGTGCCCATTACCACAGTGTAGACATCATGATGATTCATTCTAGATGAATCCAATGCTTTGCTGTGTTGACAACTTAAATTGTGTGGTAACAAAGTTCGGACTTTACGATTTTTGAAGATCCTTTTACCATGGGACCTTTCAACTAATCTCTAATCTCATAGAAACTTTGTGTTGCACAAACTAAACCTTTACTCAACTGGCAGTAAGCATAAACAGTAAATAACAGTTTTTCACAGAACAACACTTACTTTTCAGCTGTCTCTCCAGTTCCCTGGCTGCTGTCTCTCTCTCCTCCAGGCCTGAGATGTGGTGCCCCTCCAGCTTGGAGGACAGCTGCCCAAGGTTCTTGGCGTTCTCCTCAACTCTCTGCACCACTGATTGGAGGTTTCTACACAAAAACCCAAATTTCGAACTTCACCTTTCTTTCTGTTGACCCTACCCGCCTACTAAATTTCACCACGATCCATTCTCAAAATCTAGACTTATACACACACACACACACACACACACACACACACAAACAAAAACAAAAGGTCCACTGCAGTGACATAAAGACCATATACAATGCCCATTTTTTAACTTGACCTTTGTCTTCCCAACAGTAACCTACCTACTAGAAATCATGACTATCCATTGATTACATGTACTTAGTAGGGGTGGGTACCGGTCCAGGTGGACCGGTTCGGACCGCAAAAATTTTATCGGTCCGGTCCGAAAAACCGAAACGTCAGTGGACCGGTTTTTTTGGACCGGAACAAAAATTTAAACTTGTAGTTACTGATGATCACTAGATACAAGAATCCTGCCAGGAAAATGAACATCCAGCCTCAAAATAAAAGAAATTTACCTTAGTTTCCGTATCTCTCATTCTGCAACAATATTCTCCATATTTTCATTACCAATAGTCATCTAGAAATCATAAAAGAGAACTTTACAGGTTGCGTTTGCTTCGGATCGATCAAGCCGAAAATCACTGGCACATGGTCAGACTGTGCCGCACATAAATTTTCACTCGAAATGAGAAATTAGTACCCAACAAAACGGACCATTTGGTTCCCAAGGCTGTATTACTCTTTTGTTCTTGTGGTCAACTTGTTTTCTTTGCTTGAATCGCGTAAAATACCAAGGAAAATACAAGGAAAGTTCGGGAATCGGCTCTGAACTGTGCCGAGCGGCGGCCATCTTGGATTCCCAAATTTGGACCTGCAATTTGGCCCAAACCGCTAGAGGGGGGCGAATGCACAAAATCCTGTGATGTGATTGGTTGGGAAGTTTAATGTATTAATATATTCGGTTCTGAGGTTTTAGCCATAGGACAAGAGGAGAAACTTGATAATGTATAGAACGGATAAAATAGGATAGAATAAAATTAAAATAGGATAAAATAAAATAAAAAATAAATTAAAAAAAAGAATAAATTTTAAAAAATTAAAAAAAAATAAAGTAAAACAATTTTGTAGTGGTTACTTATACATTCAGCATTTAGCAATGATATTATTTGGTACTGATACTCCGGTGTCCAGAATCAGGTACAGGTACAGGTCCGGACCTGGACCTGATCCTCTGGACCTGGACCTGGACCTGAAAGAGCCGAACAGGTACCCACCCCTAGTACTTAGTATGTCTGATTAAGTACCTAGTATGTCTTGTAGCACTTGTAGCTGCCTCAATCTCCTGTTCTCTCATCCTGTGGAGTCTGTTTAGCTGGTCCTCATGGTCTGACTGAAGCTCCTGGATGGATTTTCTGGGAAGAGAAGTAAAAAAAAATCCAACTGGGGATCAGGATGCGTCTAAAGCCAATGTCACACATTCAGAACCTTCCCTTGAGCACTAGGTGACCAAGGTTGGCTAACATTTGGAGTAGGGCTGCGGACCGGTACACTGTACCGGTCCAATACCGTAAAAATCGTTTCGGTACAGGTCCAAAATACCGGATCATGAAGTAACGAGTATATACCGAAATAGCTAGTTTACACCATGTATATGACTAAAGATAGGTAAATCCTACCACAAAGACGAAAAATTAGCACTGGAAAAGACGTAAACACCGTCGGATTGATTTGAGATCCTCAGTCTCACGAGACATCGCGAGAGTGTGGCTGATCCAGGGTTGTGATTGGTCAACAAACTCAAATCAGGTCAGAGGTCAGTCATTTTCCTTTCCCACCATATTGACGGCCTTTGTTGCTTTTGTGTTGTGTCTGTATTTTGCCGCGTCAAATTGTTCAGGTACAGGTACAGGTCCGGACCTGTACCTAAACCTCTGTACCGGTACCTGTACCTGTACCTGATGTTACGTTTAGGTACGCAGCCCTAGTTTGGAGCAATCTGACCAGATTTAATCCACCCCTACCTTTCTATATGAATCAAATTGAGTTTGAGTTAAAATTGAGTATAATTCAACTGCTAACCATGCCTTGACCTACTGAACACCAGCCAACCATGGCTGTGCCTCTAGAATACACATTTCAAAGACCAAATTCTTAGTATGTTTTATGATTACAACATTGTAATGCAAATATCATGTAATAATGTACATAATTTACATACCTATGAAGTTCCTTGATCCTTTCCAGTTCCTCAGACTTCTCAGCCTGCAGCTCTAAGACCTTCTTGTGGTGAGCAGCCTGCACCTGCGCCTTCTCCTCCTCAGCTGTCTTCAGCCGTGCCAGGTGCTGAGTCACCAGCTGATCATTCTCCTCTCGCAGCCTATGTGCAAAAGAAATGGACTTCAAGTAGTGTAGTGTCCTAAGTATCCTTAAGTAAATGATACATTTTTGAGGCAGCAGAATACCTGCAACTGTATTCTTCCTTCGTGTATGTAAGAACATCAGCAGAACGTACTGCACCTGCACAAAATCACAATTTTTCACGGTTTTCTTTGGATTTTTTGTCAACGTTGCATTAGAATTTTGCCTGTTGCAGACAGTATTTTTTCCGACATAACATTTGGAAACTACAGACGGAGTGTTAACCTTTTATGTATGCGTGAATATGACCTTATATTACACGTTCTGCCCAAGTGCTATGCAGAATACATGGAGGGGTTTGTATAATCTAGTAACTAGTTACAGAAGGCTTTCTGCAGTAGTCCTGTCTGTGGTACTGAAACATTGGTACAGTAACAGCAGCTATTTCTTTAACATTGGTTCTGTCCTTAGTGCTGAAATGAAAATCTTAGCTATGCACAATGCGAGGCCCATTTTTGAACTTGACTTTGGTCTTTGACATTAAAAATTTACCATTTATAGAGTCTAGAATATCCTGCTACAAGAAAACGGAAAACACAAAAAGTCCACTGCAGTGGGTCCCATTTTTTAACTTGACCATTGTCTACCCAACGGTAACCTGCCAAAAATCATTAACATCCATCCATGCCTTCAAGAGTTATGCCGCATAAATCCATAGTCTCTCCACCAAACACAAACCAATTTCATAGCCTTCTGACGAAGGCAACAAAAAGAGCCATTTAAACCTTAGATTGTGAGTCTGACCTTGCTTCCCTGCGCTGGAATGACTCCTCGGCCAGCTGTAGCCGTGCCTTGTGAGCTTCCTCCACACTGGTCAGTTCCTCCTGGTGACGGTGTTTACTGGACTCTAACATGATCTGCAGGTGATCCCGCTCTGCCTGCAGCTGTCGGATCTGTGGTGGAACAAAGCACAGATCCTTCATAAACATTCTCTAAATGTTAGTTTTGCTGGTTAGTTTTTCGAAGGAAAACGTATTGTTTTTGCTCTGTTTCCTCTTCCTCTGTTCCAAACACAAAAGGTCAATGACCAGAACCAGACATCTGTCACCATGGTAACTGGTGTTGGGTTACATCATGTTGCAATTTTACAGCAGGAGGGATTTAGACTCCTGTCTGACCATATACATGAATGTGTTTGAGTAAGAATTAACAGAGCAGACCATATGCAAAGGTAAACATTATGCATTTGCTTTGAAAATGTCACCTTTCTAGTTAAAAAACTTATCCACTAATGGACCTTTTCTTCAACAAGAGGATTCATAACAGTACAATATCAACCATTAAAACAGAAAATGAAAAAATTGTGCTACATGTTCACCTAATTTTCTAGATCAAGAGTAAGGTTATGAGAAAAATGAAAAAAAAGAGTGAAACAACAAAAGAAAGAAGGAAAGGATAAAAGACAATTATAGTATAGTTACCTTGCTTTCTAGATCGCTGACACTGGCAGGTGACTGTCCCATTGTAGACAGTTGATAAGTTGGCAGCTGGTAATTGGGTGCCATCTGGGATTGGGGTGCCATTGGTGAATGAGAGGCCATCTGAGAACGAGGTGAGATCTGCTGCATCAGTCTCTCCTGCTGCATGTGTAAGGCCTGGATGTAGGGGCATGGAATATATGATATCAACTACTAGTAAATATGAGTCAGGGGTCCACCTGAAATTCTAAATTTAGAGCTTTTCATCATACTCATAGGCAAAGCAACCAATTTTCACATTACAATGTATCATGACATAATTCAAGGTTGCAATGTACATCAGGCCTCAAAATTAACTTTTCTTCCTTTTGTCCCAGCATTGTCCCAAAAATAAATTTCAATCGTTCTGAAGTGAGGATGAACTGTCCCAACCGTTTTTTTTGTTTTTTAAGCATTGTATGACTTCAACTTGAAGTAAGCATTTTGCTTATATGTTCACTCCCAGGCGCACAATAATTGCAGCGTAGACAGGAAATTTGGGGGACTTTTCCAGATCCAAAAGCCGGGACGTGTGCCTGATAAACAAGAGAAAGGATGACATTCTGATATTGAATATTTTTCTATTGTCCCAAAAATGTCAAGAAATGTCTTCAGTTGTCCTAGCCTTAATTTTAGTGGTCAGTCGCCATTGGACCACCTTTAATTTTGAGCCCTGGTAGATGCATACATTTAAAATCATGGAAATTTAGTACTAGTTTCCTAGATGCTAAAAGCTAATACAAGAAATAGATCAGAAATAGAACTGTTTTCCTCTGCACCCACCTTTATCTGTTCCTGTTGTTGCCTGACCATCTCCTGGTTCTGTCTGGCTAACATCTCCTGATGCTGTTTAAACATGTCTGCCTGCTGCTGCAGTTCTAAACTCAGCCTCTCGTTGGCTCCGTACGGCGCCGTGTGTCCCTGTGGCATGGAGGGGGAGGACCCAGGCCGACTGGTCCCCACGGTTGGCTGTGAAGGAGGCTGAACAAGGAACAGTCATGCCTTCAGAGTTAAGTTCAAAAACTTGTATTTTCCATTGTATGATTGTGCAACGTGTAATTCATCGAAATTTCGAATATCTTTTTCTTAAATACTGTATCAGTGTATGATAAATGTGATTGTAACTGTCTGTTTCTGTACCTGTATGTAATTAGTGTTGGAGCCCTGGAAGATTATTTGGGGCTAAAGGGCATCCCAATAAACTGAAACTCAAGAACTATATAATAGTAGAGTGGAACTGGTTGCCACCAAGCACAGTTGGGGCATCATCACTAGAAAGCTTTAAACAACTCCTGCAGTTAGATGTTAAAAGATTGACGGTAATAGATCATTCGGTGTGATAAAGCTAGCTGCCTCCTGCAAAGCTGGAGCGTTATGCCAAAGGGCAGCTATATCTGCCATACAGATACAGACCTGTGTGTTCTGCTGTCCCTCTCCCATTTGAAGCCCTCTCCTAGCAGGCTGTGTACCCCTCCTCGGCTGTTCTGGCTGTTGTGGTTGATTTTGTTCCCTCCCTAACATAACAGGACTACTCCTAGGCAGTGGAGTTACAGGACCCAGTGGGTCTACAGGAGAATCCAGAGACATGGGATCTCCTCCGCTTCTTCTGAGGGGAGGGTGGTCTCGAACTGGATCCTCGTCGAGCGGCCCGATGCCTCGCGGAGAGATTGACCCGCCGTCTAACGGCCCCGCCGTCCCGGGCTGGCGTCTCCGCGGGCGACCACCCGTCGGGCCGTCCCACGGGAATGGGGAGGTCTGGTCTCGTAAAGCGGGCGCCGTGAAGATGTCCACTTTCCCCTCGTCCACAGATGACGGAAACGGCGCATCCTGGTGTCCTCTCGTACTCGTGGTCAGCGTATCAGGGTCAACCTCATCGCCAAGCCCGAGAAAATCCGCCACGGAACTACTCGTGTCCTTCCCATCCTTCTTGGCAGGAGTTGAATCAGAGACGGTACCTGATTGGTCAGTTTTGCCGGAGGAGACCATTCCCAGCCAATCAGATGGGTTGTTAGACTTGCTGTCCGAGTCTTTCAGGCCAAGCCAGTCTGTGTCCTTGTCTTTCTCTGGACAAGGATAAACATATGGATGTTACTAGTTTATAAACATAAGCTTGTTTCTGTTGAATATACTATATATATATTACACTGTATTGTTATTATATACTACATTTATTGTTGGATCTTTACAACCTTTTTACGTTTGCCGCCTTAGCGGCAAACGTTTACTGATCAGAACAGTCCTTGCGTGGATGCAGGCAACAACGGGCCATGGGCCATTCTGCCTGCCGGATTTGCCATTTTACTAAATTTCGCTAGATGGCATTGTTGTGAATATGGTGCTATTTCATCACATGTCGCAAGATGTCGCTGTGTCAAACTGCAAGGTCCCGGATGTAAAGGTAAGCTTAAAAATGTGTTTATATCGTTTGTATCCTTACTAGAGCTGTGTACCGGTACGCAGTACCGATACTGTACCGGAAAAATTGATTAGGTACAGGTCCAAAATACCTAATCCCTCAGTACCGGTACTGTACCTAAACAATTTCACACCAATTTTATGCCTATTTGTGACCTCAAATGTTTAAATAGCTGGTTAACAATGGGTGCCTGTGTAAGGACAGTGTGTTCATGAAAACAAAAACATCTTAGTTTTGCCTATATTTTATCTGAGCATTCGCCATAAACAAAGAATAAACCTTAACTATCAAGTTTATTTAGGTTTTTTTGTTATTGAAGGAGTTCAGAAGAGCATATAAATTGGTCGAATTGTTCAGGTACAGGTTCAGGTCCGGACCTGTACCTAAACCTGTGTACCTGTACCTGTACCTAAAATTTGTTTAGGTACACAGCTCTAATCCTTACTAGCTTGTACTTGTATCAACAACTGTAAGAGTATTAGGCATAGATTCAGAGTAAAACAGTATAGTTTAAGATGATATGAGAAAGGGCAATCAATAATATTGTGCTTTCACTGGCACACACTCAATCAGATTGAGAAATTTATGAGTATATATGCAATCGCTGTCGTCGCCCCCCTCCCCTTCGTTGGTGGCGTGGAAACAGCTTGCTTTGTTACACAAATGTCAATCTCGCCAATGTCTTCTTAGGCACGAATTCCTACATGAAATCAAGTTTTAAAAATTCTGGAGGTGCAGTTTTCTCGCCCTTTTGCCTCAGAAAATGTGCCAATACATAATTTTTACGAACAAACCGTAGCCATTCCCTAGCGTACCACGCCATAATTAAGCATGTAGTGACCGCAAAATTCGGCAACGCGGCGGAAAAAAATTATATCCTGTCTTTTCTAGCAATGTTTACCATGGAAATAACGTATGTGGTTTATTTTCCCTTTATTTGAGTTTCTATGTCCCAAAATCTCTTTAAAAAGCAGAAATTTGCAAACAACACAGGCGGTCGAGGCGTGGGGGAGGGCAGCTGCATGTCATTGACTTAAAAGGTCGAAGGTCATAGGGCAATCCGCATATGTCGCCGATCTACCTAATTTTTCGGTGTTTAAAATTGATACAATCACATCATCGATTTTTTAGACAAACAAAGAGATAGAAACCAATCAAAATTTTGTGCTGGTTGATACTTTTTTTTGTTTAGAAGTTGTTTAGGGTGTGTTTGTTCATTTGATGGTATTTTGATAAGGGGCATATTTATAAGGTGAGTGGTGATTAGAAAAGAATGAGAAGGTTTTGTCCAAGCTTCTCTACACTTTTCCATAATTGCTTGCCTCAAGTTCAAAGTACAAAAAAAAAATGACTTAAAGTCATATTTTATCAACAATAAAATTTTCAAGCCTTAAGTTAACTACCCTGGAGGTTAGGCTAGGTATTGGGCCATTAGCCAGTTCCTTCTAGTAGCTATAGGCATTACACCTGCCTATCTAATTTACCACTGGCCACTACAACTACAAGTTGAGCCCAAGGCGAGTTGGCTGCTATATTAGTCTGGTGCCCAGGGTTAGCTTTGACATGTTTAAGCAAGGATTCAATATGCATATGCTCAGTTGTGGATGTTATGCTGACACAAAAAATTCTTTTTCTTCTCTTTCAGAGTCTTGGGACTTTGGCCATCTATGTCACCAAGCAGTTCACGCAATGCAGCATTCACACTCAGCTCTGCCACTGTGCACTGTGCTTTTGCACTCTATACCAATCTGTGCCGCCGTGCACTGTGCTTTTGCACTCTATACCAATCTATTTGACAAGCTACCAATATTTAAAAAAACAGCACAATTGAAATAAATTGCTCTTTACATCACAAGATTTTTTTTTGTATTGCAGATTTGATGTAGTAAAGAATTTAATTTCCCCACGTAAAGATGGTGACTGCATTAGCTTCTAATGAGCATCAATTCTGGTTATCTTTTCCTAAACTATGTACATGTGTATATAGTATAACATAGCTAGATTTCAATCAACGGTCTTATCATCACTTAATTCAAAGACGAAACACATTTATTGCATGTGATGTTCTTGTGCCAAAAAAACCAAGGCGGCAAACGACAGCTTTTGCAGAAGCACTTGTTTTGTGAATAATGCTTTGCATAATTTGACATATCCTTAGACATTCCAGAAAGACTGAGTTACAGCATTAGGCCTAGGAAAAAAGATGTTGTGTTTCCCGACCGACCGACCCTAGAAAAAACTGCCGACCCTGGACTTTTTTTGAGCTGATCAACCTTTTCTGGCTCCATGATCTGACACATGAGTGATGAAACATTATACAGTCAGTTTTCCAATATTGATATTGAAAAGGAGAGTATCCCAATGCTTATGCAATTTTTACTTTCAATTTTGTTAAACTGAATTAAGTTGGATCACTAGTGATCAACAATGTCTAAAAAAAACGAAAGAAAAAAAGATAATCCCTACCTACTGACCAACCCAATTTTTTTAGGACTAAAACAAGAAACACAACATTTTTTCCTAGGCCTTATATTGACATAGATGTATCATAGTATGGTACATATTGCTGGTATGTTATCTGTTAACATACCAGCAGGAGTTTTCACTTTTCCAGACTGGGGGGTTGGAGGTTTCTTGGCCCCAGGGGAGGGGTCTAACAGGTCATCCAGAGCACTTCTCCGACCCCCTCGGGAGGGGGGCTTCCCTTGGGGGGAGCCAAAGATGTCATCATCATCCTCAAACCTACATGTGGACAATACCGTACATGAACAACAGTGTCACACACAATTTAAAGTTAGTACAGAAAAAAAACACATACCCATGTTGAAAGTCTTTCAAGAGCAAAACCTTCATCAAGGCAGCAAATTTCAACCCTTTCAAACAGAAGGGCAGTTGTTGGAATGCAATTTAGTTTTAACAATTCCAAAATCTTAACAAAAACAATATGTTTTCCAGCTGTGAAGGCAAACATACATGTACATGTAACTACATGTATAAGAGCGTCAGCAGAATGTACTGCACCTGCGTGAAACCTGTCATGTATTGTGCATAGCACTTTGACAGAACCTCTCATGCTCCTTACATGTATACATGTAAGTCCGTCATATTCGCATATACATGTATAAGGTTAACACTCCATCTGTAGTTTCCAAATGTTATTTCGGAAAAGATGTCGTCTGCAACAGGCAAAATTCTAATGCAACTGTGACCAAAATGCAAACGAAAACCGTGAAAAATCAGTCAGAGTTTTGCTCAGGCACAGTACGTTCTGGCGACGTGCTACACGTATATGTGTTTAACTTAGTAGACCAGTTTACCTTTCATGGAACGAATGAACTGTGATGTCACAGGGGGGACATTTAGAACACTGTTCTAGAACCGGCATTCCCTTCTGGTGTCCCCCTTGGCAAATATCTAACCTAACTTTAATTTCTGAAAGTTCCTGACCTGTGCTGGTACAAGGAGTCTAAAACCTATTGATACTTCACTGAAGGATGGCTGACCCCTGTTTCCTTGTACCCAATCTCACCAGATAGCCAATTCTGGTATCTGAGAGCAGAATGCAGACCATTGCAGTGATCTGCCAGGGTGGACACTGCAAGGGAAAGCCAGTTCTAGAACGGTGCTCTATTGTAAATGTCCCCCCTGTGAGGTATCAGTTCATTCGATCCGTGAAAGGTAAACTGGTCTATCCAAGTTGGTGTTCTTGTACCATGTTTTCCTTATTACATGTACAATAATTATTTTGTCTACAAACATGTACAATCATGTCTATTACATGTACAAGCCCAATATGACTGCTGCACAGACCTGACAGACCGGTCGCCTGTTCGAGGTCTCCCCCTGGATGGAGGAGTTTTGGCAGCAGCTGACGGCATGTAGGAACCGAAGTTAAAGTCTTCATCTGTGGGCTCCTTCTCTTTCTTCTCCTCTGTAATGTACAGCATTGGCATGAAATCTGCTATGATCTGGAATCATATTTACAAAGCCTGAACAGCCTGAAAAATGTTTTAACAGTATACATCAGAGATGGACACCCAATATTAGCATTTAAGGCCTTTATTGCAGTGAGTGAGTGACTTTAAAAATGAAAATGACTTTTTAGTGAATCTTTAATGAAAGTTCATTGCAAATTCTTGACTGTAGGCTACAGTGTAATCATTGCAAGTACATGGAACATGAAAATAAAGGATGGACAATGGATAACAATATTAGTAATATGTGACTACCGTAAATAAAGTACTTAGTCTAATTCTTGTTGCCGCTACATAATATATTATGTCATGTATCATACATTTTTTATACCTTTGGTGTGGCTCTTGTACTAATGTTGTTTACATACTACATACATTGAATACATTTTGTATATTACAGTTTGTTGTAAGCTGTAGTACTGTTACAATTTACGCACATGACTCTACAGTCCCGCCTTACGCAGCTTGTACATACATTGTACAAAACTGGTGTATTATGCCAGAAGGCGGTTTACCGGTTATGCAAAACAAACAAACAAACAAACAAACAAAAAAACAAACAAACCTTGCTGTGGTTTTTTGTACTTGTCCAGGGAGAACTCCCTCCTCTCCCCTGTCCCTGGTCTCTCCAGGAGCTTCTTGGCTGTTCCCACTCCCAGCAGGGCATCAAACCTGGACTTGGCAGACTTACCATCCCTGCATGGAAAAACATAAGTCAAGATCTTGATGAAACTAATCCCTATTCTGTATTTTTTACGGATCTCGGTAGCAAATGTGCAGATATTGGCACATTGGCGCACGAAATCCATGGTGTGTTTTTGGCACAGATTAGCCTAAGAGGCTTGGTGAGCATCACTCCACCATCAGGGAAGGGACGGTAAAGTAAAGTGCTTTTCCAAAGGCACTATGTCGGGCATGGTGAGCATTGAACCCAGGACCTATTGGTTCCGAGTCCGACACTCTAACCATTGCGCTACTGACGGCACTACATATTTGTCTAAATTTACTGCAATGTAAGGAAATATGAATGTCACCAAAGAAAGAGGAAGGATGCTACAGACTGCCAGGCACCTTATCATGCAATGCAAGTAGGAGCACAAGCATGTTGGCAGAACGCATTGCGCCTGTGAGAAACCCGTAATGTATTTTGCATGAGACGTTGGTAGAACGTATCGTAATAATGAACATATAAATTTACAAATTTAAGAATGATATCCTAACTATAGATTTCAGATGTCATTTCAAAAAAGGCAACATTGACCAAACATCCAGCAAAAATTTGAGTTTTGCTCAGGCGCAGTATATAACATCTGTGTCCATAATATCACCAGGGTCCATAATATCACCACCTTGAGAAATAGTGTGCTTAAAGATATTTTTACTGCAACATACTTTTGGTATGCACTCCTTCACACATCAAATGTACATACCTAGGGTATGTTGCAGTAAAAATATCTTTAAGCACACTTTTTCTCAAGGTGGTGATATTATGGACCCTGGTGATATTATGGACACAGATGTTACATGTATGTTCTGCAGACATGCTAGAAGCACAAAAAGTAGAGTAAGTGTAGTGTCAACTTTAACTTTAGGGAACTTCTATCTGAGTGTGAGACCAGGTGCAGTATGTACATCATAGCATTGAGTCAGTTGAAAGATCAGTCATCTAGGTGGAAAGAAGTCCAGTGCCAGTGGAAAAGCACACATTCCCAATCATTCACCATTCAGAAGTGTTTGAGAAAGAGAGACATCAAAAGCTGTAAGATTTTTCTCACTCATCTAGTTGGTCCTGTTCTTCCTCTCCATGGGTATGCTGTTGTAAACTGATGTTAAGAATGATGGTTAGACAATCTACGGTTGCATCTGATACGGTAACCATAAATGGGCAAATTAGAATCCTATCAACCTTGTGAGAGGGCACCATGTAATATACTATGATCACAGTTTACACGAGTGTGCTATATTTGCTTAATTTTTTGTGCTAGTTACTCTACTCCAATTTTGCTCACTTCTCTGACTCCTCTTCTTCCATAAGTGTGGGCATAGGAAAGCTGCTTAAAGCATCATCAAATGTTAGTATTTTGCTCATACCGTACGGCCTACAAGACTGGTCTTATATCTGTCCAAAATCAACTAATCAAACTAGTTGAAATGTATACATGTAGCTTTAGAAAACTTAAATTGCAAGCAGTACTGCATTGTATATGGTAAAGTAATTGCCTCAGCTTTTCCTGATTTTATTTTCTTACCTCGCTTGTGTTTGTAAGATGTCCATGTTTAATATCGCTAAATACTTAAGCCAAATTACTGGTATGTATATTTATGTTTATCGAAAGAAAACATGCATTGTTTTTGCTCTGTTTCCTCTTCTTCTTCTCCAAATAAAGTCAATGACCTGAACTAGATGTCTGTCACCATGGTAACTCATGTTGGGTTACATCATGTTACAATTTTATAGCAGGAGGGATTTAGACTCATGTCACCATATATATGGATGTGTTCGAGTAAGAGAGCAGACCATATGCGAAGGTAGACATTATGAATTTGCTTTACAAATGTTACCTTAAGTTTCTAATTTGACCTGCATTTAGTCAACTAGTAGTATAGTGGCAACAAATCCAGCCAAAAGTGTAACTTACTCTTCCGGGTCGTCTTGTTTCTTCTGCACGACCTTCTTCTCCTGCCGCGGGCTGTCATCAAACCCCAGCGTTCCCATCAAGTCATCATCATCATCGTCAAACGAGATTTCCTCCCTCTTAGGTTTGCCCCTCCTGGAGGCTGCAGTTTTCTCCTGACGGGGGCTGGAGGTCAGATCTGTATTTTTGTGTAAGAATTGTAAAACATTTACATGTAGAATCAGCTTATTTTTATGTTTATCAAAGGAAAACATTGTTTTTGCTCTGTTTCCTCTTCTTCTCCTCCAAACCAATACGGTCAATGACCTGGACCAGACGCAAGGAGGATTATGATACTATCCCATCATCCTTTGCAATACACATTCCACAACACGTGTCCCAGATGGCTGACTGTCAGCACCAGGCATATAGTCTTGTCATGTTTCCTTTAAAAGTGCAGCAATGGCAACAATTTGACCAGTAATTTTTGGTTCTTTGAATTATCAAAGGACTCAAGTAGTGTATGAGGCTATCTGACTTTTGTAACTTATGTACAACTTCTTACATTGTGTCATAAACATTTATGCAAACATTTGCTTCAAAAATGGTGCTCAAACTTCACCAAACTAAAGTGCTTTTCTACAAACTCTGTTGATTGGTGATATTATACATCTTGTGCATCAGAAAACCCCAAATGCACCAAAAAGCACCCATGGAAAACAGAAGAAAATATTATATTTGATATGATTTATGCAATAATCATCAACAAATGCAATTTTCTTCTGTTTTCCATGGGTGCTTTTTGGTGCATTTGGGGTTTTCTGATGCACAAGATGTATAATATCACCAATCAACAGAGTTTGTAGAAAAGCACTTTAGTTTGGTGAAGTTTGAGCACCATTTTTGAAGCAAATGTTTGCATAAATGTTTATGACACAATGTAAGAAGTTGTACATAAGTTACAAAAGTCAGATAGCCTCATACACTACTTGAGTCCTTTGATAATTCAAAGAACCAAAAATTACTGGTCAAATTGTTGCCATTGCTGCACTTTTAAAGGAAACATGACAAGACTATATGCCTGGTGCTGACAGTCAGCCATCTGGGACACGTGTTGTGGAATGTGTATTGCAAAGGATGATGGGATAGTATCATAATCCTCCTTGGTTGGGTTTCATGATGTTGCAATTTTATAGCAGGAGGGATTTAGACTCCTGTCTGACCAATACTAGTATATATGAATGTGTTTGTGTTTATAGTAAGAATTAACAGTCTGAGAGCAGACCATATACGAAGGTAAACATTATGCATTTGCTTTACAAATGTTACATTTCTAGTTCCACATATTGTTTTGAAGATTTCAACTTGGGGTTGGCATAAAGCATGTGGGAGAAGTTCCTGGACGAAATGTAGGCTAAATAGATGAATATACTTAACACAGTGTACCAGCCAAATTTGGCAGTTAAAACTGGGTAAAATAGAATTTCAGAGTAGAATTTCAAAATTTCCCGGGGGCATTAGGGAGAAAATAGTTAAAGCAAAATCACGCCCTCCCAGATACAAAATTCCCTTTCTATTATTATAATAATGATTCACGCTGGGGAAGGGCCATAGGAAAAAAAATTCTCTTATAAAAGATTTTATTTCTAGACCTGGTTGTTTCTTCTCCCCCTGGCTGTCAGGAGGAGCAGTCTGTACTCTCCTGTCCTCCTCCCCCTCCTCCTGTCTCCTGCCGTGAGAGGTACGTGGTCTCTCAGGTTCTGATGTCCTGGGAGATATCTCCTCAGCTGAGGTAAAAAAAGGCATGTTCATCCAAAATAGTCGCCAACAGTTAATGAAAAAAGTTTCTGAATGGTAATGATCAAATTTTGAGAACATTCGATAATGTGTTCTGCTCAGGACCAAGAGGTCCTGGGTTCGAATCCTACCCATGTCACTTATCTTGTGCCCTTGGGAAAGGCACTTTACACTAGGGCTGCGGACCGGTACACTGTACCGGTCCAATACCGTAAAAATCGTTTCGGTACAGGTCCAAAATACCGGATCATGAAGTAACGAGTATATACCGAAATAGCTAGTTTACACCATGTATATGACTAAAGATAGGTAAATCCTACCACTAAGACGAAAAATTAGCACTGGAAAAGACGTAAACACCGTCGATTGATTTGAGATCCTCAGTCTCACTAGACATCGCGAGAGTGTGGCTGATCCAGAGTTGTGATTGGTCAACAAACTCAAATCAGGTCAGAGGCCTTTGTTGCTTTTGTGTTGTGTCTGTATTTTGCCGCGTAAGCCTCCGTGAAGAACACGTGTTAATTTGTCAAATTGTTCAGGTACAGGTACAGGTCCGGACCTGTACCTAAACCTCTGTACCGGTACCTGTACCTGTACCTGATGTTACGTTTAGGTACGCAGCCCTACTTTACACAACTTACTTCACTGTGAGTACGTAGCACTGGTTAGGGATGTCCCTCGGACAGGACGTTAAATGGAGGTCCCGCATTTGGGAGAGCCACACCCCACGCATGTTCAAGATCCCACCACACTTATCGAAAAGAGTAGGGGTCCTTCCCGGTGTGAGTGGTTCAAACTTTTTAAGTCCGGTTGTATGCAGCTTGTACAGTAATAACATGTACAAAACTGATGTGTTACGCCTAAGAAAAGGCAGTTTACCAGCACTGCGAAACAAACAAACTTTGTCTGTAATGTCTCTACTGAATTTTGTCACTGTCTCCTAAACATGGTCCATTTTCACAATTTTTTTCACTGCTTTTCTGCAATCAAACATGTACAAAATTATGCTGTTCAATAGATATCATTCATCAATATCCTACCTCTGGGGACTACTCCACCCTGTTTTGCTTCAGGTGGAGTTTGTGGCTCTTTTCTTTGGGGTGTTTTCTTGGCAGGTTTCTTCTTCTTTGGCTGGGCATCTTCATCATCTGACAGTAAACCCTTCAGTGGGTCATCCTCATCAAAATCTGCAGAAAAGAAAACACACACAATGTTATTATTTCAAGGCTCCTTCCTCACTACTTGTTCTATAGACAAGGCCATTGTCCCCAAGAAATCTCCTCTCCAAATTTTAAATTCCAGTTTGAAACTCTGAATTAGATTAGGCCACACCAAGCAAATTTTATGGATGACGTCCGCGCGCGCATTGATTTTGGCCTGTTCCTAGGAAAAAAAAACAAGAAATTCCGCTTCCTGTAACTATGACCAAAGAGTGACGACATTGCCACAAATCGACAGTGCCCGTAATGCGAAATGTGTAAAGAGCACATGCTTTGTTTCTGCAGGCCTGCAAAAATGTGATGAAAGAAAAAAGGACAGGACGACAACTGCTGTTCCACCTGATTTATTGCTGTTTTGATGATGAATAAAAGACTTCTTGCTTGTTACACTGTGTCACCTCATTCAATTTATGTCCTAACATTTGTCGTCTCTTAGTATATTTCTAATCTAGGCATCTTGTTTTTCAGGACCTTTCTTGTTTTTTTTTCGCCCTCTCGCATAAGATTTAGGGTCTCCAAAGGACGTCATCCATAAAATTTACTTGGTGTGGCCTTACATTACATTAAAGCGTTTGGACCTTACCTCCAAAGTCTGTCTGGAATTTCTTGCCCTTGTATCCCCTGGGACTAGATTTCCTGGTAGGGTCTGGAGACTGGCTGTCCTTTGGCTCATGGGCACTGGAGTCCTTGTCTGAAGGGAAAAAATCTTTTGATCAGATATACCAGTGTAATTATATTTCAGTCCATAACGTGGTATGGATGAAATATATTGTTTTCCCTCCTGTTTCTTCTCCTCCTCCTCATTTTCTTCCTGCCTTTTTGTTAACTGGATTCAATGTCTTCATTTTTTGGCCAAATGACATGAAATTTGGCATAAAGGTAGACTGTCAAATACTGGTACCCCCAGACATTCTTTTTATGTTTTGGATATGGGCTTCTAAAATTGTTTTATTTGGGTTTTGGGCCATTTTCAGGCAAAAAATGTACATTTTGGGATATGGAGCCCTCCTGGTATTAAATCCTAAGTACCCGAAGTTTGGTATGGGGATACCTTCTTATAGGAATATTTCCCTTGGAAGAACAGCAAAGCCTGTATTGTTGTCGGCACACTATGACAATTTTTCTAAATAATGGTACATCAAAAACTAAGCCTTACCAGGTCCCACAGACACAGAGATGTCCAAATTGTAAGAACTGCTGACATCAGAACTGGTGGTGGGCGGCTTCTTGTTGTCAGAAAAAGTTACAGACTTCCTGCAAGTATAACAATGCTATATCATCAAGTTCAGAATTTCCTATACACAAATTTTGCATTCACATTTTTTGCATGTGTATATTCATGCTTCAGTGCTTTAAACCAAATACAGATAAGCTTAAGCTGGCGGCTTGTCAGATACATGTATGAGACTGGACATTGTCAATCTAAAATGTTTTAAATTATGTTTACCGAAGGAAAACATATCGATTTTGCTGTTTCTTCTTCTTCTGTTCCAAACACTGACCTCTGACCTGGCCAATGACCTGAACCAGACTGTCTCTCACCATGGCAACTCATGTTGCAATTTTATAGTAGGAGGGATTTAGACTCCTCTCACTATATATGTGAATGTGTTTGAGTAAAATTAACAGAGCAGACCATATGCATTTGCTTTGCAAATACTGAGTTTAGTTTTTATTTCAAAACCTTAGAAAACAGCATATTTACTAAACCACCTTGCAGATGTAGGGGAGCCAGACTTTGTTTTGAGAGAGGGGGATGAGGGTTTGTTGTCCCCACCCCTGGAAGGTGGGGTACTGACAGCACTGCCCCTGGAGGGTGGGGTTTTCTTTCTCTTCAGGGAGCTGCCAAACAATTCTGCATCCATGTCATCAATGTCCTACAATGGAAAAACATGGTTTACTTATTAGTTTATTAAGGTACAGATGTAGCTTCAAAAGTTCAAGTCATTGGAAAGGTGAGGTGAAATGAGGAAGCTATCTCAGGCTGTCACTGGCACAAACAAAAAATTAAACACCATCGATGATATTGTTTCTTAATTTTAATGATAATGATACAAGTGTTGTCAAAGTTTACTGAGACCTTGGGACAGTGACCGCCCTCCCCCCATTATATACAGATTACCTTTTTTACATCATAGTTTCTGGATTTCTCCAGTGTTGGAATAATGTATGCATATATGCTTACCCCCATTGATCCAATCACTTGTTGAGGATCTGCCTCAGACACCTCTGACATCTGCAGAGCAACAGAAAAATGATCAGTACTGCTGACACTTGGAATAGACCTACCGGGTATAACATTATTACATCATAGTTTGTTTACCTGTTCTAAAGAACATTCTAGAACGGTCAGTTAAAGAATTAAGATCAGTTCAAGTTTTCAAAGTCAGGTATGTTTGATTTTTGCTGGGCCTAGTTTTGTTAACACAGCATTACATGCCGTAATGGGTGATTTAGTTGTGACAGTAGACAAAAGTAGTATATGTAACACTACACAAACACACACCCCTTTACAATATAAACATCAATTGATCACAAACTGCCCCAGCATTCATTGTGGTAAACAAACTGTGACGTAATAATGTAATAGGTCCATTAGTGTGATACTGAAATACATTATGCTAATACTCTTTTGAGTTCTTATATGACATCATTCAAACTGCTTACATGAGATGATTCTTACCTCATCATCATCAGCTTCAGCTGCTAGATTGGCATAGAAGTCATCATCAAAGTCTACTTTTGATCTGAAAGTATGAAAACAACAAGACACAATCTTATACGTTATATTTTTAATAACACCTGTAAAAAAAACCTTAGACTAGTTAGAGGTCCATATGAGGATTACTTCTGTGTCAGTCATTTGAGGGCCCACATCTTGGCTTGTCTTTGCTGGCAATTTTTAAAATGCCAATTGACAAACATCAATACAGATTTCATTAAGACATAGACCAGATGTAGTCACTGCTGTGACAGAACTACTAGTACATGTGTATTGGTACAACATTTTTCTAATGTCAACAGATTTAGCAAACTTTTCTTCTTTTGTCCATATCTGCTTTTATGTCAACTTTCTAGTATAACTAACTTGTTATCTTCACATCCTTAGCCTGATACATGAAAATACTTTCCCTTCATCACAATCTCACGATATTCTGTCATCTGTCCTTAACTACATTGTACTTACTTCTCAGGTGTTCTCTGTCTCCCAGAGGAGCTTGTCTTCTGTCTGGGTGGCTCATCTGCACAGGAAAGAGTGATGTGTAAAGTTAATTTCTGTTCCACATCTTTCAAAATCTACAGGACATGTGTTTATCTTACTTAGAAGGCCAGTAAAAAATCTATCTGCAACTAGTGATATCATAGAAACTTCCTAAAAATCGTGTTGTCTTGTGATTTATATACAGAATTAAATTTTAGTAATGTTATTAATCTAATATGAAGTTCTTGAAGAATTATGTGTTAAAACCTTAGTTCAGAGAAACAGTATGAGAACTCAGAATTGAAGTAGACTTCTTCCTTAAACAATTTTCCTTGGGATGAAAAACTCACCATCTCCCAGCAGGTCCCCCAGGATGTCATCCATGTCAGCACTGCTGGCTCCTACATGTACATGTACACGTATGAAAAAACACAGTATTTAGCATATTGATCTGAATCAAGTCTCACAAATACATGCATAAGCCTAAGCCTAGCATACATTGTAATTCAGAAACATACGTAATGCCAAGGAAGATTTAATCCTTTTTTTTTCAATTTTTAAAAATTTCAAATGAAAAAATACAGCACTCACAATAACAGAAAGTGTGATACAGAAGAAAATTTAATCCTCTAACATTTCCCAGGTGGAATTACCAAGTGTATTAGATTAGCTGAAGTTGCTAAAAAATTCAACAACGGTAAATTATTATGGCACATGCAATAATATGCTTACCTCTACCTGGTCGCTTCCGACCACCTCCTGGCACTGGAAACGACTGGAACAATGGTTTTAAAATATGCTTGGACCCGTATGAATCAAGTCAAAAATTTTGCGATACAACGATTTGTAAATGATGCAATTATTGGCAAGTTTGATACTATGCTATTCTGAGAAATAAGCAAATAAACGACGTTACTCTATTATATTTGGATACAGAAGCTTTTGACATATCAAAGTAGAGAGTATAATAGTAATTTATACTCAAAATTCTCCGGAATCACTGTCGTTTCTACCTCATCAAAAGATTATGGGAGGGCGAACGTTCGCGAACGACGCACGCGACAACACAGCAATGATTACAGTCATAATTAAGGTGAAATTGACAAAATTCTTCATGTCCTTGTTAACTAGAACGGTTTACTTACCATTCTGAACAATAAAAGTTCTACACTATGACCACGGATGTGAGAAAACGCTGTTTTTTCTTGCGTTCTAAGAAATTTTGTCTCCAACCGACGCCATGTTTGTATACAAACTGTAGGTCAGAGGTCAGGCCGGGCTACCCGTGATGCTTCACGGGAAGAAGTACAAGAACAGGTGAACTGAACAAACTTTTGTGTACAAAAAACATGAAAAAAGTCGCCAAAAAATCGCTATTTTCGTGTCAACTGAACGACGAAAGGAGGCTTCAAAAGCTCCCCTTGAAAGCCGTTCCACGTTCGAAACATTGGGGTCAGCTAAGGACACGCTAGTTGCCATGGAGACCAAAGAACGCGTTCTGTTGTTGATGTTCCATTACACTTACCAAAGACAAAACCGGGCTAGCTAGACGGATTTTTCAAGCGCTTCTTTCATTTCTTGAAGAGATAGTCCAGTACAACTGATAAGCTTCAAAGAGATGGACCCGCATGACTCTGAAGACGACACAGATGAGTAGGATGTAGTTTAGAAGTTTTCGCCGTAAGTTCGCAAATGTGATACTGATACTGGTCTCTAGACTCTATTCGTGATCACAGCCAAAATTTGTTACTGTGAAGAACTGCCACCTTGCGATTCCTAGGGGAAACGTCATTGTATTTCAGAGGGTAGTGACCTATAATCAAAGTGATCACAGCCAAAATTTCTATTGCCTCACTTTTTCATTTTCTTTCGCCCAAAAGAGATGGTCTTCGTGGGCTTTCTTAGTATGTAGTTGTCAAGTTTCTTTCTGGACGGATGACTTTTGTCAGTTTTGATATGTTTTTGTATTCTTTGACTTACTAGTGCTGATACTCAGGCCTAGGGAAAATGTTGTGTTTTCTGTTTCAGTCACACACATAGACATACACATTCACTCACTCACACACAAACATACACATTCACTCACTCACTCACACACATACACTCACTCATACACATTCACTCTCCCACACATTCACTCTCTCTCTCACACACACACACACTCACTCACTCACACACACACACTCACACATACACTCACTCACACACACATTCACTCACACACAGACATACACATTCACTCACACACACTCACACAAACCCACTCACACACATTCACTCACTCACACACATACACACACAAACTCACTCTCACTCACACACATTCACTCACTCACACACAGACATACACACACACACACACACACTCACTCACACATACACATTCACTCACACAAACTCACTCACACACACATTCACTCATAGACTTAAACCTGTACACATTCACTCACTCACACATACACATTTACTCACACACATACACATTCACTCACACATTCATTTTTTTATTTTTTATTTTATTTTATGACGATTTACCACACACACACACACACACTCACTCACACATACACATTCCCTCACACACATACACATTCACTCACTCACTCACACATACACATTCACTCACACACATACACATTCACTCACACATACCCACACATTCACTCACACATTCACTCACTCTTACATTTCCTCACTCACTCACACACATAATAGACATACACATTCACTCACTCACTCACTCACTCACTCACACATTCACTCACTCACTCAGCACCGCATGCTCTGTTTTCAAAATCTATCCAGTTGCTTGAGTAACCATTGTGTACATGTATCTCATTACCCAGATGTCTAACCTACATTGCAGCATTGGAAAGAAAAATTTACTTAGACAGGACACAACACCTTATAGATACACAACTTCTTCACTTCTTTTATTACATGACAGAAAACAGAAAAAAAAAAAAAACTTGACAGAAGATTGCTCCAGCTTTATGTGTGACCCTTCCATGTATCTTCACCATTTCCTTCACTGGTGTGATAGTCTCGAAAGGTCTCAGAGAGATTTCTTCTCCATTCCCAACTTTTTGGTGGGAAACTGCCCACATGACCTTACCACAATGTAAGCTTGGTGATTACGATGCCTGCTTACGTGATGTGTACAAAAATCCATAGACCAATCCATATAGAAACATGTTTAAATTATCAAAACAAAGTTAATTATCTTAAGGCTCTGTATGGCTTGGTATCAACCCCAAAAAGCAAGAGAAGGCTCTTAATTATTAATTAAGACAGTAGACTGCTTTATATACTCTGAAGGACAAAATACAAACATATTAAACATTCCTTTACACTTTGTCTTCTGTGGAATTTGAAGGTATTAATAGTTTTGCTTAAGAATGAAAGCATAACATACCACATCAATATTTAACACTTAAATTATGCCTGTTTTTAGAAAACATTTGCACACATGCAGACAACTTCTTCACATTAGTGAATGAAAACACATACACAAGAACACATATAATTAAAAATATCTGAACACATATGACGACACAAACGTTCGCCTCTCAGTAAGATTTACAATAATCATTATCAACAAACCTCCTGAAAGTAGTTTTATACATATTTGGCAAAAATTTTGACTTTACAATTTTCACAAGAAGTGGGTACTGTATTTTCAACGCAATTCTGTTTCTACTGGCTGTTTTACATGAAACATAGCTGATTGATTTTACTACTTGTTTATTCACAGGACCAAGTTATAAAAATACACTACAAACAAAGATTTAAACCTATATTAACACCCTTAGGCCACACCAATTTAATTTGTTGGTTCTCGGATTTTTTCAGAAAAAATGTGAAGCGACAGGGCGAAAAAAAATAAAAATAAAAACAGGTCTAGGCATCCTATTATAAGCTTAAATGCTACGAAATGAGACATGAAGTCAACACAAAAGGCTGGGTTAAAATTTAAACATTTAATTTTGAACTTTTCATCAAACCACTGCAATGATGGATGGGAAAACTGTAACAACTAGGAAGAAAAGGACTTTCCTCAACTGTTGGGGGCAAAACATGAGCATTTTTCAGTTGATTCAGAACCAGAATCATTTTTTTTTTTTTTTGCAAATCAGAAAAAAACGAAGAGGCGAATCCGAGAACCAACAAATTAAATTGGTGTGGCCTTACCAAGGGATATAATTAAACTTATCACAGAGCCTATGACACTTTTACACAAGAGTTTAAACTAACCATAAAGCACTAGCTAAATACAAATGTTTATGAGTGAACAAATCTAAATCATTGGGACGCAAAACTAGACTTATATTAATCTACTTAAGGTCTAAAACTGTGAGACATCATTCTTTCTCATTCCATACTCAATTCGAACCTGCTCTTAGACTTATTATTGGGAAATCCTTCCATTTGAAAAACAGTCAAGTCTAACATCTACATCTCACTGTCACATTCCTTATTACATTTGTACAAACTCCTCTTCATTTTCCCAAGACTTCATTAGTTACCTTCCTCAAAACAGAACCACGTCCCTTTTTCTGTTTTCTTGAGCATCATTTTCATTTTTCTCAACTGCAAATTGTAAAAAAGAGAACCAAAGGCTGCATGAGTATAGCCCTCCTAGATAAAGCCAGATATACCTTTTGTCATTAAATACAGGAGAGGCAATAGACCAGTTTACCTTAGTTTCATGGATTGAATGAACTGTTACGTCACAGGGGGGACAGTTTGAATAGAACGCCGTTCTAGAACCGGCTTTCCCTTGCGGTGTCCTCCCTAGCTGGCAGATCACTGCAATGGTCTGCATTCTCAGATACCAGAATCGGCTATCTGGTGAGATTGGGTGGAAGGAAACAGGGGACAGCCATCCTTCAGTGAAGTATCGATAAGCTTTAGACTCATTGTACCAGTGCAGGTCAGGTCCCATTCCACTCTATGCAGAGCATAGGGGTGGTGCCCATCTCCATTTCCGTAGCCCTCGGGTGACACACAGTTGTGCAAGGTACTACAGCAAGGGGCTAGTCCACTGGTAGTGCTGTGTGTTTGACCTTTCCACACTCTTTCTCATATGTGCTGAGTGCTAAGCAGAGAAAGAAGTGTGTACCATTTTTAAAGTCTTGATATGACCCGGCCGGGGTTTGAACTCACGACCTCCTGGTTACAAAGCGACCACTCTACCAATTGAGCTATTCAGGAAGTTTCAGAAATTAAAGTTACACACGTCGGATACTAGTATCTCCCAGGGGAAACACCGCAAGGTAAAGCAGGTTCTAGATCGGCGTTCTATTTGAAATGTCCCCCTGTGACGCAACAGGTTCATTTGATCCGTGAAAGGTAAAACTGTTCTACCCAAGTTGGTGTTCTTGTACCATGTTTTCCTCATTTGGCAGTACACAGAAGGTTTATCAACAGTTTTTGTGGACTATAAGACTTCTGGGAAGTGTAGATGGTGAACACATTTGAAGTCTTTCCTAGTCCTCGAAGTCCAACATGGCGTCTAGCTCGCTCGCCAGATCGTCGAACATGCTGCCGATGTCGTCTAGAACGTTCCCGGTACTGGTCACCGCTTTCACCACCTCTTCAAGTTTCCTGGAGGGAACAATAACAGACAACCTTTATTATACAAATGTACATTCATGCCCTATTGGGCTAAGTACAGGTGAACAGATGAAAAGGTATACACATGTTTGTAGTACAAACAGGACTACTGATACTAATCTAACTACATTAGCTCTAAAACTACTCTAATACAGAGGTTCAACTTCTTCTCATTTATTTGTGATGTTAAAAATACAATTTGAAATGGGTTTGTTTAATATAGGATGATCAAAGCGCATAATTATAAGAAAGATGAATTTTTTCAATATTAGTCAAGGATTGGAAGTATGGAAACATTCTTGTGACACTGTATGATTAGAAGAAATTTCAATCCGCAAAATAAACTTCAATTCTACGACAAAGTGGAGTTCATCTTCTACCTTGTTCAAGCTACAAAATTGACGAATTTACTGATACAGATACAGACAGATATGAAATAGGGAGTTGCTCCTACACAAATTAGGCAAAAGGTTTAACAGATAATCACTGGATAAACAATACAAATTGTCCTTTTATTCTGGGAATGAAAGACTTACTCTGCGTCATCTTCACTTGTTCCCCGGGCCACCTGTCTGGGCCCTGCCGGCGCGGCTGCTGCAGGTGTGGCTTTAGGTGCTGGAGGGGGCGGGGCTGCTTTTACTGGGGCTGCTGCTACAGCTGCAGCTAAAAAAGGAGCACAAACATTGGTATTCAACAAGTCAGGGCATATTTTCTTCAGTTTTTACACATGTATGAATCAAAGCTCATCTGTGTTGGTAGGATCCATAGTTACAAAGTTTAAGCTTAGTTCCAACATGAAAAGAAAGACCGTTAATTTTGGAAAGCATAGTGGATCATACATCTAATGAAGGTCTTTTTTTTCACGTTGGAACTAAGCTATACCTTTCACATGTATAACATTGATTTATGTTTGTGACTTATGTACTTTTCTACTTATGTTTATGTGATTTCTGGTGTCTTATAAGCCAAATTGGATATAAAAAGACAAAGTCACAAGACACGATAATAAAATTTCAATCATTCATTGTATATGTCACTGCACTGACACTAGCCTGTACATTTTCGTTTTACAATTATAAATTATGGTAGAAAGTCTTGACAAACAACACACGAGCCTCACCTTTCTTCTTGTCTTCTGGAAGGCACTTCTCTAGTTGCTTTATCTTGGTGGCAAACGTGGCGTCGGAGGTGTTCCCCGTGGTGTGGTAGGGCGCCCCGAACGGATGGTGGTGCTGCTCTTGGTTAGGAACAACGGCCTTAGGCGATGGAAGACCTCCTGCCTGACTGACCGCTGAAAGACCTGCTCTCTGCATGGTGGGTGGAGCCGCGGCAGGTTTGGTAGACTTCAGCGAGGGCTTCTTTGGAGAGAGCGGTTTCACCGGCGACACCTGACCAGACACATTCACTATCTTCTCCTGACGGATAATTGACCTCTGACCCTTGACCTCCTGACCTTTGACCTCCTGTGGAGGGTTGGGAGGAGGCGGTGGCAGCTTTTCTCCTCGCGTTATCGAGGCAGACCTCTTCGGGCTGTTGGCGGGTTTAGGAGCTACAGCTGGTTTATGGGATGGAGACTTGTCTACAGGAGAGAGGGGAGGGGTACTAGAGGACATTGACCTGGAGCTGACCCCTTCCTTCTTCCCAAGATCCAAGCTGCTGATGATACTCCCGACACTCCGACTCTGAGTATCGATGAGCGGCTCTGGGCTGAGATCCTCAGCCTGCTCTGTGTTAGGCTTACCATCCCCTTCACTACTACTTGTAGTTCTGGCAGAGTTCGTCCGGGGGCGCTGCTTAATAGTCAGGTTGCCCTCCTCTGCAAATGGCAAGGAGGTTACTGAGGAAGTAGAGTCTCTTTTGCTTGGCTCTTTTTCTTTGTCACTTTTCACAAATATGTTATTAGACACGGGGTTAGCACTAACTTCTGAGGAGTCTCTCGGGGACCCGGTATCCCCCTCGTCACTATCTAAAGCGTTTAGTCTCATGGATGGACTCGGAGCGTTTGCTCTCAAACTGTCTGTCCTGCCTTTCTCAACACCTTTGCTTCCTTTTTCTTTTCCGTTCTGTGCTTTAGGCTGTTTTGCTTCAGAAGAGACAGGTACAAGTTTCTGTGCTAAAGCTGACACAGACTGTTGCGGCGGAACTCCGTTCTCCGTAGCATTTGTCTCTGTGTTGTCATTAGGCTCAGTTTTCGCTGCTTCCTGTGCCTTCTTTTCCTTCAGGTTCCTCAGCCACACGGGCTGTTTTTCGTACTCTTTCTGTTTTTCTTCCTGCTCTCTAATCTTGTCCTGTTTTTTCTGCTTCAAGTTTTTAATCCAGTCTGGTTCGTCCTGTGATGTAGACGCAGGTAGAGCTTCTTGTTTCAAACTCTCTTTCCTCTCCAGGGTTTTACTCTGAATTGGTTTTTGCAGAGTGCTTGGAGGCGACTCTTTTTTGGGTTGTACCAAGGCGGCAGGGGTGGGCACAGGAACCTGGCCCAAAGAATTAGTCCTTTGCCTTTCCTGGGAATTTTGTCTTTTGATCGTACCCGTACCCTCCTGCACCTCCGTTTGGTACATCCCGAGCTTTTTGGAACTTTCCAACATGGCCGCGATACTTCTGACGTCACGCGCTTCATCCTGGCTATCGGGGGAGCTACCGTTCTCCCCGTTACTAACGTGAAGGTCTACGTTTTCCTGCGAGGACTGTGGCACGGGGTGGGAAACATGTACAGGACTGGACGACACTGGAATAGGCGGGATGTGGACCTGACTGTAGTTGGCGTAACAAGCTTGGTTGACTACTTGCGGAAGTTCTACGCCCGGTTGGGGCGGTGGCGGCGGAGGCGGCAGATGGTTTGGCTTCCCGGACATACCCGGTATGGCGGGCGTTTCCGATATTTTCGAGTTCCCGCGTTTCGGTGGCGGAGGAGCTGGCTTCTTCCCCTTTCCTCCAACGGAAAATGACGTGCTGCGAGCGACGGGCGCTGTAGACTTCTGCTGTAAGGACTGTTCGTCCGTGCTGTTACGGAAGCTCTGTGAGCGCGCCACGCCGCTGTACGACACGCCAGGCCGGACCGTGATCCCCTCAAAGCTCCCCTGGGAACTCCTGTCTCCTGGCTGGAACTGTCCAGCTGAGTAGAAGCCAGAATCAGAGTCAGAACTGGAAGGGGGTCTACCTGCTGATGACATGATGATAAAACATGCACTTCCTTAGATGATGATATGATGGCAAAAATACTAATGCAGCTTACATGTCATAAATTCTATAATTATTTCATTGACAGGGTTTTTGCTAGTTTCTCTGAAAGTCCATTCCAATGTTCTGGCATGACTTGATTTTAATAGCCTGGAGTCCAGCCTTGTCCTAGGGGAGCGGACTAAAGCTAACAAGGCTGGACTCCAGGCTATAATTTTAATACTTTTCCATATCATAAATGACAATTTTGTCTATTAGAAAGACTAAAGATATCTTGGAATGATGATGATGAAAATGACCAAAAGCAACAAATGATGAATGACCAAGGGAACCAAATGAATGACAACTATGGCAACCCAGCCCAACCCACCAAAGAAAATGAAATTCAAGGTTACTGAAGTACAGTCAATGTAAGTTACCTGCTCCTGAGAAAGAGCTGAGAACAGGCACCCTGACGGGGGATCTGTTGAGGCTGGCTGCACTTTTGGGAGACTTCCCCAGGGTGGCGTACTTCTTCTGCTCGGCCGTGTCCTGCTGGGACTCGTCTATCCTCAGCTCGTTCTCCTGCCGCTCAGGTTGCTGGAACTCTTCCGGGCCTGCGAAGGGAGGGAAATAAGTTACAGGGACTGCAAATCTCAACTAGAAAGGCAACATTTCCAAAGCAAATGCATAAAGTTTACCTTTGCTTATGGTCTGCTCTGTTAATTCTTATTCAAACACATTCATATATATATGGTGACAATAGTCTAAATCCCTCCTGCTATAAAATTGCAACATGATGTAACCCAACACAGTTACCATGGTGACAGACGTCTGGTTCAGGTCATTGACCTTATTAGTTTGGAGAAGAAGAAGAAGAGGAAACAGAGCAAAAACAGTATGTTTTCCTTCGGTAAACATAATTATCATAATTATGTTTACCTTTGCAGATTCTGAAGGAAAATGTTTTTGCTCTGTTTTTTCCTCTTCTTCCATTCCAGACACACGAGGTCAATGACCTCGACCAGACGTCTGTGTCACCATGGTAGCTGGTGCTGTAGCAGACACCCTGTGGTGTAGGGTTACATAATGTAGCTTCTCTGCAAATCTAGCTTTTTAAGCTTTTCCCAATTGTTCCAATGAATGGAAGAAAAACTGAATGGTCAGGCATGGTGAAAAATTGAACATAGATGAAGCTAATGTCTTTGAGTACAAGCAACCATCCAGGTAGTGTGAAGGAACATTCTAACAGCACTGACCTACAAACGCATCAGCATTGTCTGACAACATGGAGGAGATGCTCTCATTACTGAGGACACTGTGTCTGTTGGAGTTGGAGCTGACCTCCCCCGTAAGGTCAATGCCGTGGTCCGTGTTCTCCTTGAAGGTCGAGAAGGTCGTCTGGGTCGGCCTCTCCTCCAGAACCATCTGTCAATCATTTAAATGATGAGGTGTCAATTATCATAACGGCATTATTTGTGATACAACCTTGCAAGGAAACAACCTGACATTTTTTTTCCTCATCTCAATTTTGTTTCATGTAAGATCATGCTCCTCTCATGCAAATTTTGCTAAGAAATTAAACTTAATTCAATGACATCTCTTTGTGCATCTTTACAACTCAAGCCAATTTATGTCCATCAAAGCAGATGAATAAATGGGCAAAATTTTTGTCCATCATAAGCAGAAAAATTCCCTCAAATGGCACAAAGGTGGATGTTGGTTAGAACACTGAAAAGTCTAACTTTGCAGGACGAGGGAAAAAACTCCCATTAATCAATTCGCAATAAATGAACCACTTTGGCAAAGCAAAGGGAAGTGTTTGGTTCACTAGCTGCTGCAATGCCACAGACAGGAGGAAACAGTCAAAAGAAGAAACTTTTTGATACAGGACAGTAAAAATTGGGTAAGGATAGAGCTGTGTACCTAAACAAATTTTAGGTACAGGTACAGGTACAGGTACAGGTACACAGGTTTAGGTACAGGTCCGGACCTGAACCTGTACCTGAACAATTCGACCAATTTATATGCTCTTCTGAACTCCTTCAATAACAAAAAAACATAAATAAACTTGATAGTTAAGGTTTATTCTTTGTTTATGGCGAATGCTCAGATAAAATATAGGCAAAACTAAGATGTTTTTGTTTTCATGAACACACTGTCCTTACACAGGCACCCATTGTTAACCAGCTATTTAAACATTTGAGGTCACAAATAGGCATAAAATTGGTGTGAAATTGTTTAGGTACAGTACCGGTACTGAGGGATTAGGTATTTTGGACCTGTACCTAATCAATTTTTCCGGTACAGTATCGGTACTGCGTACCGGTACACAGCTCTAGGTAAGGATCTTGCTGGGATCTTCAGACAATAGGAAAGGCATCAGAACAACACAGTTGGGTACAAGGCTAGGTGGTGTAAAATCAAGAAAGACAACAGAAGAGGGAAGGCGGGTCACACTTACATTTACCTGGGTTTGCACCTTGTCAGGCTGGGACTCTATGGTGAGGATCTCTAGTGTCTGTTGCGGTACGCGGGGCGCCATGCGCTGGGAGGGCAGCGAGATCTCGTTCCGATCCACCTGTGGCAGGATCCCACGCTGGATCTGTGACAGTTTGTGTACAGCCAGCATCAACTTCTTTTGATGGCCTGTAGTAAAGAACAAATCTCTCAAATTCACTCAATTATACTGAGACATACATAATTGTAAACTGTGTGGTTCACTGGAACTAGTTCCAGACTTTAAAAATGTTTAGGTTCAACTCAGGTAAAAAAAAAAACTCTGAAAAAAGTCTGACAAACATCATGTCACAGTCCCACACCACTTTAAATCTTCAATAGTCATTGAAAAATGAAGAAAACATGCCATTTGGCATTGTCAAGTGTCTGCCTCCGTAAATTGGCCACAGTTTTGTCCAGAAGTGCCCCACAAACAACATATCTTGCTTCTAAACCCTGGTAGTGCAGTGCTCTCTACAAAATTTTGCGGTAAAGACGTCCCATTTTTAATTGGGAAATGTTAAACGAGAGCTACATGTAAGAAGACACAAAATTCTTCATTATCAAATCCAAATGATATCAGTAATGAACAATGGCATGGATCTACTATGTAATTTACCAACTCAGATGAACTTTCATGCTGATGGCATGCACATATCCTTGTATAATGTCATATTATACATACCCAGTTTTGTGATCCCAATCTCTTGGAGATCTTCCCATGTGATGTCAGTGATGAAGTCGATGGCATCATAACCGTTCTCCACCAGAGTAGAGTGGTACTGTTCCAGCCCCATGGCTCCCAGCCACTCCAGAACATCATGCTGCATATTCAACAACATTGCAATCAGGAAAAGGGAAACTAACAACAACGAAATGCATAATGTTTACCTTCTCATATGGTCTGCTCTGTTAATTCTTACTCAAACACATTCATATATATGATCAGACAGACTGACAGGAGTCTAAATCCCTCCTGCTACAAAATTGTAACGTGATGTAACCCAACCCTAGTTACTATGGTAACAGACAGTCTGGTTCAGGTCATTGACCTTTTCTGTCTGGAGAAGAAGAGGAAATGTAGCAAATATAAATATGTTTTCCTTCAATAAACATAATAAGGAAAAAAATGTTGTGTTTCCGGTTTCAGTCCTGAAAAAAAATTAGGGTCGGTAGGTAGGGATAATCATTTTTTATCCTCCTTTTTTAGACTTTGGTGATGTCTAGGGATCGAACTTATACAAAACTTTTTAACAAAGTAAAACTTGCATGAGGACAGTCATTTTCAATGTCAGTGTTGGAAAACCGATTGTACAATGTTTCATCACTCAGGTGTCAGATCACGGAGCAAGAAAAGGTCGATCAGCTCAAAAAATTTATGTCCCTTGCAGAGGTCCACACAAAAAAAGCCTAGGGTCAGCATTTTTTTCTAGGGTCAGTCAGGAAACACAACATTTTTTTCCCTAAGGCTAAACAAAAACAATGGCAGCCTATTAATAATAGTTTCTAGTCTAAGAGAAATTGGAAAAAGAAACTTCAGCTAGCCAGGAAGGGATTCCAGAAACCAAAAATAAAAGTGTGGGATTATCTTTCAACTCAATCTAGCTGTCTTGGTGCAGTTTCCTCCTATAGACCACACACAATATATCATGCAAGGAGGAAGTGTCAAGATGTTGTAAAAATCTAAAATCTGCAGAACGTTGAGAGGCCTTTTGGCAGAAGTCCACCCCGATTTCATTGGTAATCTGGTTTTCGGAAACTACCGTATTGACACCCCGCAGAGATAACCTGTTGTAATATAATTTCCAGTCGGCCTTATCTGGATGTTGATTGTTATCTGTCCATTAGGAATGGAAATGAGACATCTGTAGTACCGGCTTGTAGTCTGGGAGTCCGTCTGGTATGTGGAGGTTTGTGATTTCGTGAGCCAGTTTTTTCCTATGGCCGGGCTTGGTCACTCCTACTGCATTCAGGTCCTGGGATGGAAGAGAATTAACCGATTAAGACAAGAAAGGTAACATTTGCAAAGCAAATGCATATTACGTGTCACCTTCACATATGGTCTGCTCTGTTAATTCTTACTCAAACACATAATTATACATGTATATGTTCAGGAAAGGAGCCTAAATCCCTCCTGCTACAAAATTGCAACATTATGTAACCCAACACTAGTCACCATGGTGACAGACATCTGGTTCAGGTCTTGTTTGGAGAAGAATAAGAGGAAGAAACTGAGCAAAAACAATGTATTTTCCTTTGGTAAACAATTAAAAAGTTGCAATGTATTCCATTTCTCTTGACTTCAATAACCTTTCCCAACATTCAGTCTACTTTCGGTACAAGATGTTTACCACCTAGATATTTTTTAATTACATGTACATCATTTAATTCATGGCCTCTTTACACTTTCAAAAATCCAGCATTCAATTAGTGTTCCAGATTTAAGTCCTGCCATGCATGTTGATTCACTGCACCCCAGTTTCTCAGGAAAACAATTCCACAGGTAATAAAAGCAAGCAAAAGTTCTATAAACCACTCTAAATGCAAAGTAAAAGCTGCACATACTGTCAGAGACAGAGATTTATGACAGGACTAGCTGGCGATGCCTGATTATAATTATGGCTTCTTGCCAAGCACTTCAGAACAGCAAGTGCACATGAATGTTCAATGATAATATCATGTCCTTGGGACACCCTTCAGTAGAAGTCAGTTGAAACTAGAAAGGTAACATTTGCAAAGCAAATGCATAATGTTTACCTTCACATAATCTGCTCTGTTAATTTTTACTAAACATATTCATATATATGGTCAGACAGGAGTCTAAATCCCTCCTGCTATAAAATTGCAACATGATATACAATAAGTCATGTAACCCAACACTAGTTACCATGGTGACAGACATCTGGTTCAGGTCATTGACCTTATTGGTTTGAAGAAGAAGAAACAGTTTTCCTTTATTTGGAAAACATACATGTAACAATGAGCTGCTGCATGCATGTGCCCATTAGACAACACTTTTTATTTGTAGCTTACTAATCTTTACCCTCTTATAAAGTGTCAGTGTCAATCAGAGGTAGACTTGGGTACTAGGAGGGTTAAGGTTTCACATCTGTGAAGCAAGCCTGAAATTTCTTTCCGTCTTCTCAATTTTGTTTGACGTAACATCTTGTTGAGCACCTATAGCCTGGTGACAATCCTAGGGGGTCCGGGGGCATGCTCCCCCAGGAAAATGTTGAAATCTTGACCCTCTGAATTGCTATTTCCTGCACTTTTGATATGAGGGGCAAACTTTGCTGGTAGACTTACTAAGTTTAATAATTATAACAACTCTTTCCTTATCGTTACACACCAATATTTGTCCATCAAAGATGACAGATTGGGCAAAAATTTTTGCAGCGAAATTGCATCAAATGACGGAAAGATGGATTCTGGCCAGAACACCACATCATCTGCTAGAATCTTATCAGAAAGGAAATGTCATACCTCAGGGGTCATCCTGCTGATGGTAGGGAAGTCGTAACCTGCACTTATGAAATTATTGGTGTACTGCTGAAGTCCAAACTCATACAGCCAGCTGTAGATAGTCTCTGCATCCTAGAAAAGACAGGTGTTTTGTCTTTGTTGAAAAGTGTAAAATTATCTAAAAGAAAATGTATATTGTATCAATCTATTCAATAGGCCACGTTGATTTGATTATATGGATGACATCCTCTGGGAACCTCAAAATTGATGCGAGCGTGCGAATAAAAAAAAAGTTTGGCAAAAAAAGTTGCCTTCATTATGAAATCTACTAATGTACGTGGTCATGAAGGTTGACTAAATACACATAGTACGGTATGGGGAATAATAGAATCTTTAGTTTCATATCTTCATATTTTTCTTTCTTTTCCTTTGGAATTGATTTTGGCATTTAATTTAGTATATAAATTGTTCTCCAATATTTTTTTGCAATCTTCGGTGTACATTTGCTAATCTTACAGTTGCTTTCTATGATTTACAGTATGGCAAAAAACTTGGTCAGAAACGGACAAAAATTCATGCGCGCGTGGATGTCATCCATATAATCAAATCAACATGGCCTTACCCTGGTGGCAATGATTTCAAGTTTAATCATATTCTGGGCGGGTGTAGGAATGGAAAACAATTTTCTAATGGCATGAAATATGGCACTACAATTCATTCCCTTTCATGCGATGTATTCACCAAAGCCCATTCACACTAGGTGCAAATGATGCAGCATATCTGCAATGCCGTTACAATAACCATGGCAATGTCTTCAGTTGAAAAATATCCCACTTCTAATGTACTGAGCGATCCCTTTCAGCTGCTCTGAGGCTACGAGTGTATGACTCTCTCAAGAAGTACAATATAGTCCATGCTCAGTGGTCCAGCTATAACTACTAGTACTTGAATCTTCATTTCCTGCTGCAATAAAAAGGCCATTTGGTGAAAATGATGACAATAGGATATTGTTTGGTTATGGTGGGGAACCCGCTGTGCTGCCGTTGAGTGATAAAAGATTGCATTTCATGGAGTGTGATTTTTATCGCAGATATTACACTGCTTCAGTTGGTATTCAGGACAACGGTATAGTCGTTTCTTCCCCAGTCTTGCGAATAAATTGTAGATAGGGTAGAAATGATGGCAATTCTTTGTTGCTATAGGTATCAGCCATTCAACCAGAGCGATCTGCTTTCGTCTGTGTTGTCGGTGAAATCCATATCATCCTAAATAGAGCTCTCAGTCAACCAGAAATAGCTGCTGGAAGGCAATATTATACTCGGCCTGCAAATTTTATGTGTTATCATTGAACTACATTGTACTTGGCCTGTAGCAATGCTCAACTACTGTGACATTTTGTTTCTGTATTCTACATGTATTTCGTTGACATTTACTTGACAAATTTCCTAGCTAAAGTGCAAGACTTAGTATTGCACATAACTAACAAAAACACAAATGCCTCCACAGTGTAACATGTACTTTTCCAATATCATCATGTACATAATCTGTTTGTTGAGTGCTGTTGGAGAAACAATCTTTATTTCTAGTTTGACTTTTTTTATCCACTGATCTGAAATAAACCTGTTAAAGGCATCCAATGTGATTTCAGAGCAGCAAAACTGGAAATATTCTGAATATGTCAATCTTTGTGATATTGACACATTGTAACTACTTCACATTAGCACATTTCAATCAGTATTTTCATACTTTGGGTATTCAAAACTGCAGAAACAAGCCCCAAGATGAGTTCTTTAATTTCTGGGTAGTACCCTAAAAATCATCCCGGGGCCCTTCCAGTAATCATTTTCTGTCAGAAGTTTGGGTATTTTTGCTCCATGAGGGTCAATATACATTGGGACAGTGTGGTTTCAACTCAGTATGTAGATAAATGACTAGAATATTGACTTTAAAAAATCGGGTTTCCAAGCCCTAAAAACTGCACTGGATGCCTTTTGAACTTCTTGTAAACAAAAATTTGGTCTGGCCCAACAATCTGAAAGTAGATCACGATGCCCCGGGGAGATATTCAAAGTCTGAAGTTCATTAATGCTAGATGGACACTTTTCCTCCAGCCTAGGCTCATGTATTGAAAATGATGACAAATGTATTACATCAAGTGGTTTTAGAGGCCTCCTGGGCTTTCCTATTGATTGAGTGCAGGATTCTGGGTCAGAGGACTGAACTGACTCCAGGTTATGAATTACAAATTGAACTTCGCGTGACGCTTCATAGGGAGGGGGTATGCTAGCTGCACGGAAAACAATTACATTGTACATGTGCCTCAATAACTTTGCCATGCTTCATTCTACAAATAAGTGCCACAAATTCTGCCACAACTTTGCTAAAGGACTCATTAGGTCAAACTGTTTTTTTTGGTCAATTTGTAAATAGCTCAAATAGCCTTATATATTGATGTGAAAAGTATGCAATTCAGCCACTGTACCTGGCTGCCATGTACTTTTTTTAAGGATCATGTTGATCAAATAAACCAGTCATTCATTGAATCATTCATTCATAATTAACTAACTATAATCCAATACACATGTGTAAGTATTACATATGGTTTAAAAACTGATCACTACATGTAATTGGCCAGGGCTTTCAGTGGAGCACAACGTAATCTCTTTAAATCCTTTGATGGATTATGGCTTTTCATTCATTAGACAGCCAACATGTCAAATATTGTGTCAATTGGATTTGAAATGTATGAATGATGCCCTTTGGTCTAGTGTTTGTCAAATACTTTATACAAATGTATGAGCATACTAGTAGTACCTATTCCTGTTAAGAGGAGGGTGTGTGTGTGTACGTGTGTACATGCATACAAAGGCTGCGGTTTCATTCCGGGGATCAGGAATATGCAAATGAGTACACTCTTCATTTCCATTTTCGTGATCTCCAAAATGAGAACGCGACGAAAGCATTGGACATACAGGGTTCAAAATCCTTTTTTTTCAGGGTTATGCACTGGGCAACCTAGGCCAAAAGCTAGCTTGTCCACTAATATTTCAGGTTGCCGTCAACACTGACTGTTAATTTTAGAAGGGAAGCCGTGAGACAGGCCACTTGTATACATGTGTAGGTATCGCTCACATGCTGGCCGTTGCAGGACAGTGTTTGTTTCAGAAGCCCTATGCTGGGCTGGTGTCAACTTTAAAATAAGTTGCTGAGTATGGAAAAAAATGATAACTTATGCACTGTGCAACCGCATGGCTCTAGCCAGCACATGATTACTGGAACTTTGCGGCGTGTGACGGAAAGTTTTAAAAAAACAATCCTTTAACCTTGACAGACAAAATTTAAAGAAATCTTGGGTAAAAATATGGAAACTTCCCAAGGACCACTGACAACCACTCTCAACATGATTTGATCTCAAAATGCAGGAAATTGTATTTTTGAAGGTTTGAAAATCCAAAATTCTCCTAGATTGAGAGTGCCTTCACCACTTGTGTTGTGCCTATGGTGCTCCCCTCTCCAAATCCTATGATGAACCTGGGCTGACAGAAAAAAATTCAAGCTGGCTAGAGCCCTGTGTGCAACATGGGGTCTCCTAAGTCTCACACAGAAAACATGACTTGCGCTGCGAGAGTGGGTATTTTGAACCCTGACATAGCTCACTGCTCTAAACCACCAGTGGTAATGAAGACAGACTAGACAGAAGTGAAATAGATGACAGGCTGGTCTAACCTTTCCCTCCATGAGCTTCATCTCTGTGACAGGGAAGTCAGCATAGTTGTCAATGTTCCTGTAAGTTCCCGAGTCACTGGCTGGTCTGGTGTCACCTGGGGTGGAACACAACACATTGCAACATGTAAGTCATCGATCAGACTTTCAATATGCCTATGCCTGGAAATTACATGTAGTGATCAGGGTTGGACAAGTTTTCAAAAATCCACTTGCCCTATTGAGCAAGTACAAGGTCATTTTCACTTGCCCGAACCGACTTTTCACTTGCCCAAAACATATATTTCCAAGCATTTTTACTACCACCAAGGAAATTATCTTATTTTGGAATTTATATTGTTGGATAGTTTATTTATCGAAATAAGGTGGTTTGACTTGCTCCAAACACCGTTGTGGCTATACTTTGTATCAAAAAAATTTAAGGGCACATGCACTTGCCCGAACAGTACTTTTACTTGCCCCAGGCAAGTGGGCAATGGGACTTGTCCAACCCTGGTGTTACACGTATTTTATTTTGTAGTACCCTAATGCAGGTAAAATTGGGGCTGTGCAGGTATTTCTGATGTCTATCTGCACCTACATTGCATTGGTACTAGGTTTACAATGTGTATACATGTATATGTACATGTATTATTATAATACATTTGTACGTTGATTTTTATTTGCTGCACTGTTACTACCTAATAGTATGAAGTATAAAAGAAAAAAATGGCAATGGTTTCTGGACAGTTTTTAGTATGATCCATACTTGTGAAAGTCTGAATGGTGCAGGTAAAATTTGTCTTGTGCAAATAATTTTCACTGTTACATGTACCTGCACCAGTGCAAGTATGCAGAAAAAGTATTTCGAGCCCTGGAACAGGACACAGACACAATAATAAATGATTAGGATTACTGCTTAATCATATTATCTGTGTTCAAAATCAGATCAGCTCAGGTCCAGTTGTCACAGTGATATATACATGATAGACATGATGATAGACTTTGACATGTTGCAAAACAGCATACAACATCTGCAAATAACTCATTGATAAGCATTCATGTACATCAAAATTTCTCAATCAAGGTTAATGTTATGGATATATGACATACATGTAGTAAACTGTTTTTACTGTCCAAGATACTGTAGATATTTCCCCCCACACTGTTCTATATAGGAAATATAATATTATGTACATATTGTAACTTTGATAGCACTACCATGAAAGACACTATCATGCATCAATAAACCATTGACTTTGCCTTTGTTCAAGGTCAAAAAGATACCAGTCTGGTAAAAAGTCATTGGTAATGGCTTTAGGCAAATGCACCACTTTTGGAGCCAGCCAAGTAATGTACTATTCTTTCTGCCAGGTCTTTTATCACAAAGGCTGGACCAGGATAAGTGCATTCTGACTGGGTCAACTCAATCCCTCTCTACTGCCCCAGGCATCTACATGTAATACAATCCCTCTGTATGTTTTGTTTTAATGCTACACCAAGTAATTTTTATGGATGATGTCTGTGCACGTATTGATTTTGGCTTGCTCCCCCCCCTCCCCAAAAAAAAAGAAATTTTTCTTCCTGTAGCAATGAGTTAATAGTCATGACAGTGTTGCAAATGGCAAGATTGGAAGATGTGATGAAAGGAAAGAAACAGTGCAGGACGACAACTGCTGTTCCACTGACTTTCATGACAAATAAATTTAAAGACTTGTTGGTTGTTACACTATGTTCTCTTGTTCAATTTGTGTCCTAACATTTGTCATCTCTTAGTATATTTCAAATCTCATTCAATTTGTGTCCTAATATATATTTGCCGTCTCTTAGTATATTTCAAATCTAGGCATCTTGTTTTTTTCTGCCTTCTTGTTTTGTTTTCGCGCTCTCACATTAGATTTAGCGTCTCCAGAGGATGTCATCCATAAAATTTACTTGGTGTGGCCTAATGGTGATCTAGGGCAGTAGCCAAGACCCCTGTCCTGGTCCCTTAAGCAAGTACAGTAGAGGACTTTAAGGTATCTACAAAAAAGATGGCCATTTTTCATTGGCAGAAAAATCAATAACAGAAAGCAACCAGGCTTTTTTCCCCATTTGGCAAAAATAGTTCAGTTCTGAGACACCATCAGCTGTAAGCCCACGCAAGACATATATCTATAGCACAAAGTGTGCAGCATGATAATTCAGTATAATAGACAGTTCCTGATCGAACACATCAAACGCCAAATATGCATGGTCTTCAATCAATCAATGTGAATGTTCTTGCTTGCCATATATCTTTCATGTATAAACTAAGCCCAAAAGCTCTCTACCACCCAAAATTTGTGACCCTACAATGTAACATGCCCAGATCGTGAAATTTAAAAACCAGAAGTTCTGCTGCAGTACCAACAAAAGCTGCCAGGGGGCCCAAAATTTTATAATTTCTAGGTCTCATCAAGACCTTCCCACCTACCAAGTTTTATGACAATGCATATAAAACTTTTTGAGTTATGCTATTCACAAAGAAATCAAACAGACAAACACTACTGAAAAAATAACCCTTCTTGGTGATGGTAACAAACCTTTGGTATATATATAAACTATTAAAATAGTATGTACAGCAACAGACAGTTACTGTAACATATTACCATAGCCTTTCTTGCTGACAACTATCGTATGTTATTCATATTCATTATACCTTCCTAACAGCATATTTCACACGGATGTGCCTCATAAAACCTTCAATTTCAGACTTGTCAGGTAAATATCAGTGGTGTGACTTTTCAGAAATTGCCATATTCCCTTCCAGTCACAGCTGAGCAGCTTTGATGAATATCGAGGAAACTACATGCATATCAATGTAATATGTAGACATACAGGGGTTGATTGATATTCACGGTAAAGATTCACATTTGACATTCAAGACGATCGCATTAGGCTATGTAATTCTTATTCAGGAGTGAGGTGCAGATTTAAGTAGTAACAGTAAGGGTGTTAAAGGCATCCAATGCAATTTCAGGGCGGCAAAACGAACCATATTCTATATGAGGAAATCCTTTTCTAAGCACATTTTTTTAAAAACTTTATTTAGTAGATGGGAAAGCATGGGAAATGCCATGGCCATGGGAAAACAGGAATGTCATTTAGACTCCCTGACCAAAATTAAGATAGAAATGTTCGTTTCAATTAATAATGCACACCAACAAAATAACAATGATAATAATTGTAACAAAAAATACTTATAACAATAGTCTTGTAACAAAATAGTAACAACTAGAGTTCCCCGATCTCATACCTTCGCCAAATGATGTTAATCTTTATGACTGACAAATTATACATTAGATTATTCCCCCGATTTAAGAAATAGGAACCTAATTTTCATGAATTATATCATTTTATCATAATCTCAACCAAAAGACAGTCTTATATTAACAAACAATGCATTCTAGCATTTCCTAATAAATTATGCAAATGAGGTCCTGATTTGAATAAATTATGTTTAATGATGTTCACCTCAATTTAACTTTCAAATACCACAAGTATGAAATTCCAGGCAGTTATCATTACATAATTATAAAGTTTTCTCATTAATTATGCAAATTAAGTCATTATTAACATAATCAATATCTTCCTGTGTTTCTCTCGTTGTCAATTACCAATGTCACAAGCTTCAATTGTCCTATCATGGAGTGCAGCTGATTTATAGAATTTCCCCATAAATTATGCAATTACATCCATATTTGCATAATTGTCACATAATTATATCAAGCATCACGTAAGCTACCTACATACCAAAAATCACGACGATCCGTCAACTGGTTCTTGAGTTATCCCCTTTTGAATATTTTCAAGAATATATCCCTGCAGTTCCAGAGCAAGCCGCTAGGGGGCCTAAACTCACGTCACTTCTTCCCCAGCACAAGAGCTACCTACCATCCAAATTTCATCACCATAGCATGTCTAGATCATGAGATATCAAAACCGGAAGTTCAGCTGCAGTACCATAACAAGCCGCTAGGGGGTCCAAAATCTAATCATTTTGAGGTCTCATCAAGACCTACCCACCTACCAAGTATCAAGACAATCCATGAAGGCCTTCTCAAGTTATCGTGTTTACAGACACACACACACACACACAAACACACACATACACGAACGCCCCTGAAAACATAACCTTCTTGGCGAAGGTAATGAGATGAACAAAGTAATGCAAAATAATAAAGTAATGTATGATAATAAAGTGATACATTTGATGTCGTGAAGCATTTGAAATAGCCATAATATAGGCTATGTGACTCCAAGTTTATGCTTTGGGTACCAATCCACCCATAAATAGCTAGAACCAGTCTACAATACAAGCTGCCATCAGTGACATTGCTTTTTTGCCTCATAGACATCAGATACAATGTAGAATTGATTCAACTTACTACATAAAATTGACAATGAAAACCCAGTTTTGTCATCCTGAAATTGCATTGGATGCCTTTAAATTACGTGTAAGTATTTGACCCAACTCTGTGACTGTCACAATAGCATTGAAGATACTGCATGAAGAAATCAATGGAATATACAGTTGTAGATGAAAAAACTAGAAAGGCCGGCATTTGCTTGGGAGCAAATGCAGTAGATTGCTTCACCACATTCCTGTACCAAAAATAGACCTATCCCCCTCCCGCACAAATGAACTGCTCCTAAGGGCAAAGGCCACCAAATGGCGCATGCCCAGAGGGCCCAGTCTGAGACCCCTTTGAGTGAGTGCAGCCAAACCAACTGAAAACAGCATTTTTCTTGGTATGTGTGGATAAATGCTGGCATTTTCCAGCTGGAGAGTTATTTCTATTTCTATTAACTTGAAAAAACTGGCTGTTAGGGTTGTTTTGGCTGCTTGGTAGGTTCTAAAACTAATCCCATCTTCTTGTCTTTTGGTGGTCTTCAAGGGGGTCAGAGGTCATGCTGCCAGTGTTTCCATTCTGCCGTGCCAGGTTTCGCTGGTCAAAAAGTGAAATTTTTGGACTAAATGGACAATTTGGAAGTTGGACTACCCTGTCAATATGTGTTTGCAATAGTTGAACACTCAAGTAGGTGATTGTTGACAGCTCAGTTCTTAGATGTTTTCCATATATTCCAATAGGAGCTG